CACACACACACAGACACACACACACTCAGCCAAAATACATTAGCACAATTTGAGTACCATATATGTCTACATATATACACACATTCATTCAAACAAATGCATGTATGAAATGAAATATTCATGTGAATGAGATATTCATTCACAGAAATACCACTACTGTGCAAACCTACTTGCAATATAATATTGTGATAATAACAACATTTAAAATACAAATACAAATCCTACAGTCAACAATCCAACTGCCAAACCACTCCTGAGTAATTATTGTAATGAATTCCATAATTTAATGGTTCTGAAAATGAAAGTCCGCCTTCCCATTTCAGTTTTTATTTTTGGTAATACATAATGATTTTTATCTCTTATTCTAACGTTGACTTGATGTTTTTCACGCACTAATAACAACTTGTCCTTGATACTCACTGGCTTGCTAAACTTTTGAATCTTTGAAATTAGTGCAATAGAATGTTGTCTCACATGCTCTACTACTGTGGGCCATCCCATCATAGCATGAAGTTCACTTACTGCTTTTTCAAACCCACATCTTAAGACCATTCTAGCTGCCTTGTTTAATGTAATCTGCAGCCTCCTCATATCTCTCAGAGCTGCATTACCCCACACTGCACAGCAATAACTAATGTGACTATAGATTAGACTATGAAATATTACCTTAAGAGTGTCTTTAGATAAAAACTTTACAATTCGTCCAATCATTCCTGCCATTTTCATCACTCTTTTAGAAAGATCAGTAATATGAGCTGCCCAAGAGAGATTGTTTTGTATTTTGACTAAACTTTGTCTCAGGTCACGGAGATCTTTTTGCAGCTCAACCAGTATATCCAACTTGCCGAGTCGCTCATTTATTGATTGCATTAAATATATCTCCACTTCCATTGTTTGTTCCTCTGCGCTTTCCGAAGAAGCCGACCTGTTGCGGGATTTTTTGTGTCGGGGCGCTCCGTTACCTGGCATTTTCTTCGCTGCTCTGTATTGTCTATCAATAAAACTTTCCAGAGCCCCGATTGACTCTGATGAATCCGATGAATCCAGATTAACATATATCCTGTCTGAAATTTTAATTTGCTGGCCGAGACAAAAGTTATTAATAAATATAGGGAGCAATATCCAAAACAAAGCCAAGTCCACAGCCCGGAAACCGGAAGCGGAAGGCCGCCTCATTCTGTTTAAACCAAAAAGGTTCCGCCAATATGTCTACCCTACTAGGCAGAAAATTGGGCACCTTGGATCAACTCGCCAATCCGGCTCTGTGTGTCTTAACGCTCGCAGCTTTCCGGCAAAACGGCCCAACATTCTCCGCTAATCTGGCAGTGTAAAAGGGGCTTTTATCAGCATCTGCTAATCTGTACACTCATATTCTGTATTAAATATTATCTTTACTTCATTCTTCTGTCTCTCCTGATTGAAGTATCGTCACGTCTGGCTCCATAAACCTAAGATGGCGAAGGCCGAAATGCCAAACTTGAGGCTTCAAAACGGGAGTCCAAAAACCAAGGGGTGACGTCACCGAAGCTACGCCCATTGTTACATACAGTCTTTGTTTTTTAACTGTATAATGAGAAAGTTGGTCTGGCTGATGAGCGGTGCTTGGTAGTCCTGTTGAACTGTATCCAACATGGCGGCCGGGTCACAAACTTTCTAATTTTAAAGCTTAGCAGTCACTAAAATAAACATTGCCAAAATCAAAGGTATAGTGTCTAAACCTGACTTGGAGAGACTGATCCATGCATTTGTCTCTAGTAGGTTAGACTACTGTAACGGCCTGCTCACTGGCCTCTCCAAACGGGCCGTAAGACAGCTGCAGTACATCCAGAATGCTGCTGCTCGGGTCCTGACCAGAACCAGGAAGTACGAGCACATTAGTCCTGTGCTCAGGTCTCTACACTGGCTTCCTGTGGCTCAGAGAATAGACTTTAAAGCAGCTCTGCTTGTGTACAAGTCTCTCCACGGTCTAGCACCAAAGTACATCTCTGACATGTTAGTGCCATATGAACCATCTCGGACTCTGAGGACCTCAGGGACCGGCCTCCTGCTGGTGCCCAGAGTCAGGACTAAACATGGGGAATCAGGATTCCAGTTTTATGCAGCTAAAATCTGGAACAGTCTTTCTGAAGATGTGAGACAGGCCTCTACTCTGACAATGTTCAAATCTAGGCTCAAAACAGCTCTATTTCACTGTGCATATGACTGAAAGGATCTTATCTGCACTCTTCTCTTTTAAAGTTCATTTTATAATGATTATTTATGTTTTTATTTTGTATTGTGATTTTAATGCATTTTCTTGTTCTGTAAAGCACTTTGAATTACTTTGTGTACGAATTGTGCTCTACAAATAAACTTGCCTTGCCTTGCCACTAAAACAGCTGCTTTAGAGACTCCTCGGCTCTGATTGGCTGTTTTCCTTCACATGCAGCCATTAGAAAAGCTACAAGGCCACAGAGGAGGCAGAGGAGTGTGACTTCTTTTACAGATTATGTCTTATTTAGCGCTGTGTGAATATATTTTAGCAGTTTCAGCAAATATTTTCATATAAAGTTACCAACTGTAGCTTTAATCCACACTGGACGGCTCAGTCACTGTTACTGAGCAAACAGAAGCAGACTGAGCCGTTGTTTTTCTGCGAGAGGTCGGCCTGTCTCACATCAGCAAACCTATCTGGCTCCTTGGACGCTTGAACAAACAGAAGCACTTTTACTGCAGTTCCCACATTATTGTTTGCATGTCACACAGGGAGGACTGGTTAGCTGAGGTGTGTCCTGGTTTAACCATTAACCTCAGACTTAATCCAGTGAGGGTCCTCTGTTGACCTCCTCGAATCACTAACTTCTGGGAGTTTCACTTGAGCCTCCGTAACACTTTACTTTTTTGCCTTTTTTGGATTTTGCGTTTTGTTCTTTGGGGAAATGTTGGAAAAAATCTTAGTCCTGCTCTGTTTGTCCTCTGCTTTGGCACAGGAGCTCTGTGAACCAGGTGAGTGAGCGTATTTAATACCTTAACATGTGTCGTATTCACATTTTATCCTCGCGGATACTGTCAGCAAACACAGGCTTTGTTGCAGTGAGGCGGCTGGTCAGTTGTGTTTCTTTGTTGCCTCTCTGGTGTGGAATGCAGCTCCTAATCTGGAACAAAATCGGATTAGACACATAACTCAAACGTTTGCTTCCTAACAACAACCTCCATGTGACATCAACAGTTACTCTGAAATACATGCTGGCTTTCTACAACTCTGGGAGGAAGTAACTGATGGAGCTGACATGAAATGATGTTGGACCCTCCTAACAGCTAACAGTGCATTTAAATATGTTTCATCTTTATAGATAATTCATTTGCCACTCAAGTGCGACTCAGCATCAAAACCGCTCTGGGAGATAAAGCTGTACGTATGTATTCAAATATTCATCAAAGCATCAGATCATAAACTGTCTGACTGTGTTATATGTCGTTCTGATAATGTAATAATAATGATTTATTCATAATCTACTGATCATTCATGCAACCAGCTGAACTTATAAACAGCAATATGCTGAATATTATCTAAAATTCACTGTGTGATGACTTACTGCAAGGACAAGGTTCATCTGATGGTCAGTTAACCTTAGAGGTCGTTACTGACAATAGAACATGTTTGTGTTTGTGTTGTTGCAGTACGACTGGAACGACAATGAAATGTACTTTTTCCGAGCGACTCTGGCTTTTGCCATGAGGAATCATTTCAGCGGCCAGGAATTTAAGTAAGACAACTTTAATGTGTTCTCTTTTGCAGTTTGATCTTAAAGGAGCAGTGTGTAAAATTTAGGGGGGTTTCATGGCGTGAGGATTTCAGATTTTAACCAGCTGAAGCTTCTCCAGGTTTGAATTTCTTCAGTGTCCATTGTTCAGGAGGTTTTTACCAGGAGCTGAAATATACGCAGAGGATTCATCCTCTCAAAAACAAACAGACCAGGTGATTAAAACCAGTAAAAACACAGAATAAAGCAGTTTCACATTACAAAACAGAGCTGGTGATTTACTGTTCTCACTCTGAAGTCATTAATATCCGGCGCTTGGGCACTGACTTGCAGCGTCCGACACTGATGATAAAAGCTGTCCTTTAACGTTGACATGATACGTGGCCCGTCACCGTTATAGTTTGACGGCACTCGGCAGCATGGCAGGACAAGAACGAGAGTTAGGGCAGGTGGGAGGGGTGGTGGATGGGTCCAACAAACACAGACTTTCACTCAGGGCAGTGGTTTTCGTGTCCTGAGTCTAAAGTCAAACCCTGTTCTTTTTTCCTAAACCCAACCACGTGTGTTTGTTGTGGAGGAAATCCTCTGTGTTGTACCGACGTAGTGCGTTTATTTTGAAAGAGACTGTAAATAAATGTTAAATTTCCTGTGAAAAACAGAAGTGTATTTTGAAAGAAGGGCGTCAACAACCAACGCACCCAGGGTACCTTTCACGTCGTATGTGGACGTGGAAAGTCCATGAGCAAATGTCGACATGTGACAAGGTCACAGTAGCTATGTTTCCATCCAAAAGTGATTCGAATCATTGGGAAATGGGCATTAAAAGAAATACGAATCCTGTGTGTTTCCATAAATGTTTTGCAGAACCGGAAACAAAACAAGTCTCGTATTCTTCTTCTTCTACGTTTTCTGGTGGTTGGCAACCAGCTTGTAAATGCATTACTGCCTTCCCGACCCTGAGTGTGGACATCACCATGGAGAGAGGTGCGCTACGTCAGACTTAATTCAAACATAACTGTTTCCATCCCCCGTTTTGCGAATCAACATTTTTTTGAATCAACCAAAACCCGGTTAAAGCGAGCGTATTTTAGTTTGTGCGAATCAGGGGATTTTAATTAGAATTTTGGCGTTTCCATCATAATTTTCCGATGCGATACTTCTAGATGCTCATCTAAACAGGCTGATGGAAACATGGCTACTGAGAATGTGTTCCTGAAAAATGAAGCTTATATGGAAGTGCCAAAAACTGCAGTTTCTCTAATGACCACTTGAGGCTGGCTCCAAAATGGAGTAAATCACCATAGACTTGCATGTTAAAATGCCCAACTTTACAGCAGTAATAAACATGTACAAGAGCTGAATCTTTAGAAAAATCATCCATTTACATTTTAATAAAGTTACACATAAGTAAGGGTGGGGCAACTTGAGTGACTGTCTGTCTGTAAATTGACACTTCAGTCACTTCTGGCTCCAAAAATCTGAAATGTTAAACTCAAGGCTTCGAAACGACAGTCCACAAACCCGTGGGTGACATCATGGAAGCTACGTCCATTATTTTATACAGTCTGTGTGGCCAAAACAGGAAAACACGAATGGCCCTATCTAGAGCCAGCGTTTGGTTTGTCCATCCTGGGCTACTGTAGAAACATGGCAGTGCAACATAGTGATGTCCATAAACGAGGACCCGCTCCTGACATAGATATAAATGGCTCATTCTGAGATAAAAATACCCACAACAATTCTTATTTTCAGGAGATTATACAGCAAAGAAAACATACTTATTATATTGTATTCCATTTCTGCCAACATATCCCCCTAAATCCTTCACACTGGACCTTTAAATGCAAAATAAAGTTCAGAAATACTTTTGTGTGTTCATAAAACAGGCACAACAACTATAAAACTATAATATAATCTATTTTTACTGTGATAAAATCGGTGACTCACGGTTTATGAACATGTTATGACACTGGTGTGGTCTTTATTGTCTTGTGAAACTTCCCCCAGTGTGTCGAACATCCTTGTATGTAAGGAGACCGTCAGAGTGTCCTTCTGGTTCGTGGTGACGTCACCGTTGAACCCTTCAAACCTTGTTCCTAAAGGAGACGTGGACAAGGCCATAAGGTAATCACACGATGCACTGACACTGCAGGAAATGTTATTTTCTCTTTGGCCATTCCTCAGAGAGGTCAGAGGTCACATTCAACTCTGAGTCAATGTCCTTTGTAATGCTTTATTTCTCATGTTTGGCTTTAATGATATTTAATGATATTTTATTGTATCGAATATAGCAACAATCTTGTCCATCACTGCTGCAACCTTCACTGACTTTTGGGTGGTGACAATGACACAGATACATACGACCGAGTTAAAGTTTTTCCTCAGGCCTCACTGGAGCTGATTAAGAAGGTGTAACAACATGGTGGACGTTTGTATTGAGCCATTACTTGTTTAAATTGTTTGGGAAACTATTAAGGACTCCTCCTGAACTCTTACCTTTGGAGGTTTTCAAGGCTCAAGTCAGTGAACTCAATCACACCACGATGTGTCTCTAAAAACACCCAGATTTGGTAGCACAATCGCCACTAGAAAAGCTGGGATGTGTCAATTAAAACACCTAGGTTATGTGGCAAGTCGCTGCTGAAAACATAGTGGTGAGTTGCTTATGAACACCTAGATTTGGTGGCACAATTGCCAATGGTATGTCACTGCTATGTGTTGCTAAAAACACCCAGGTTTAGTCGCGCAAACTCCGTCGGAAATGCTGTGATGTGTTTCTAAAAACACCCAGATTTAATAGCATAATCGCTGCTGAAAGCACTGCAATGTGTCGCTAAAAAACACCTGGGTTTGGTGGCATAATTGCCACTTGATTACTGTGATGTGTTGCTAAATAATATCCAGGTTCAGTGGCACAAACACCATTTGAAATGCTGCCATGTGTCATTAAAAACACCCAGATTTGGTAGCACAATTGCCACTAGAAAAGCTGTGATGTATCCATAAAAAACACCTAGATTATGTGGCCAGTCACTGCTGAAAATGCAGTGATGCGTCGCTTAAAAACACCTGAATTTTGCTATTTGTCTCAAAAAAGTAACCCAGTTTGGTGGCACAATTATTATTGGAATCACTGCAATGTGTTCCAGTTTAGTTTAGTTTAAGTTTAGTCGTGCAAACACTGTTGGAAATGCTGCTGTGTATCACTAAAAAACACCCAGATTTTCTAGCATAATTGCTGCTGAAAATGCCGCAATGTGTTCCTACAGAACATCCAGATTTGGTGTCACAATTGCCTCTGGAAATGCCACATTTTGTGTCGCTAAAAAGCACACAATCACTGCTGGAAACACTGCGATGTGTTGCTAAAAAACACCCAGGTTCAGTGGCAAAAACAATGTTGGAAATGCCGCAATGTGTCACTAAAAACATCCAGATTTGGTAGCACAATCGCCTCGAGAAAGGTTGTGATGTGTCCACAAACAACACCTAGATTATGTGGCAAGTTGCTGCTGGAAACGCAGTGGTGTCGCTTTGGTTTGGTGGCATAATTGCTGCTAGAAAAACTGTTTTGTGTCACTTAAAAACACCTCAGTTTGGTGGCATAAGTGCTGCTGGAAATGCCAAGATTTTTCTCAAAAAAAAGAAAAAAGTAACCTGGTTTGGTCAAACAATTGCCAATGGAATCACTGCAATGTGTCACTAAAAACACCCAGATTTAGCAGCATAACCGCTGCTGAAAATGCTGCAATGTGTGTCGCTAAGTCGCACACAATCACTGCTGGAAATGTTGGGATGTGCTGCTAACAAAACACCTAAGTTTAGTGGCATGATTACCGCTGGAATCACTGTAATGTGTCACTAAAAACACCCAGATCTAGTGTCACAAACACTGTTGGAAATGCTGCGGTGTCACTACAAAACACCCTCATTAGGTCGCACATTTTTCGCTAGAAAAGCTGTGATGTGTCAATAAATAACACCTACATTCTGTGGCATAATCACCACTGGAAATGTCACGATTTGTCTCAACAAAGTAACCTGGTTTGGTGGCACAATTGCAAATGGAACCACTGCAATGTGTCACTAAAAAACACCCAGATTTAGTGGCACAATTGGCGCTGGAAAAGCCTCAGTGTCTGGCTAATGGACAGCCAGTTTTGCTGTTTGTTAACAGTGGTCTGCAGCTTGGCAGCCGTCTCACATAGGTGTCCTGCCGTCCACCATCCTCTCCACCTCCCAATAACAAGGTCACCTTATACACATGTAGTCAGAACTACCTTTTTTGGAACTGTTTATATAATACGTAATATACATACCCATGGTTTGCAGAAACATACAATGCCAACATTTCATTCTGGTGGCTGTGCTGGATTGCGAGGACATTTTGGAGTCTCTGCATCTCCCCGAGCTCTGGCATAAAATTTAGGCATCAGCTGCATATTTTTGCATCAATACATGCAGTAAAATCTGACTGGTGTCAGACACATGTCAGCCTGAAAATAGCCAGTATTCATATTTTAAATCTAAACTTTTCTTTTTTAAAAATAGAAAGTCCAGGAACCGCATCAACAGCGCATTTCTTCTAACTGATAAAACTCTGGAGTTCATCAACATCCCTCCCACAATGGCAGCACCAGTCAACCCTGACACTCCTCCATGGCTCATTGTGTTTGGGGTGGTCATGGGCGCTGTGGGTGCTGGGATCGTCGTTCTGCTTGTGTCGTCTCTGGTCCAAAAGAAACGGTAAGCAGATGACTGTAGATGATTTTCCTTTCTCACTGTGTTAATGTGATCACAGAGCTCAGTCAGACTTGTCTCTGGTTTCTTCCTCCAGCAAGAAGAACAAGAAAAATGACGATGAGGACGACGAAGAAGACACACGAGCGAAAACGGTGGAAAATGGCGCTGTGAGCGAGGGTGTTAACAACATGTCTTTCTCAGATGACGAGCGATTCACACAGATGTGAAACTATGGAAACTCTTCTACGTCAGCAAAGTTATGAAGTTGCTCCAGGTGGACTTCTGTTGCACCGTGATCTTCAATCTGCAGAATCATTTTAAAACTGTAATTCATCAGAAATGTTTGATTTAAAGGAGCAGTGTGTCAAATTTAGTGGCTTCTAGTGGTGAGGACTGCAGACTGCAACCAGCTGAAACATCCCCCTTGTACCAGGCGTCAACTCCTGGTTAGAATTCCTTTGGTGTTCATTGCTCAGGAGGTTTTTACTGGGAGCCGAACTATCCGCAGAGGTCTCTTCTTCTCAAAAAACAAACGGTCCAGGTGATTAAAACCAGTAAAAACACAGAATAAAGCAGTTTCACTTTACATATCAGTGTTTCTGCGGCGCTGTTTGGCTCGTCACAGACGGGCCCGTAGAGCAGCACCTGCTAATGTGTGCTCATCTAATTTCTCTGATGAATTAAGATCCAGGGACCTGTTGCACAAAACACCTTCAGTTAAGATTTTCCTTCAAGTCAGAGTTAAGTTTCCTCAAAATGAAATCTGTTGCACAAAACACCCTCAAGTCTTCTCCTTAAGATTTCCTTTAAATGTTCACTATTATCTGACTATTGGCCAATTTTGTGAGACAATAACAGGCATCACAAACATAAGTCCAAGCAAACAAACAATCTCCATGGAAACTTAAACTGCTGTAAAATCTCTTCCAACACAGTAAATGAGTTAATGTTTTTCTTGAACTCATGAAACTTTTAAAGGGATTCTGTGCAACTATGTAAGTCCCTCAGGTGAGGAGAAATTAAGCCTTAAGTGTCACACTTGAGGGGAAAACTTCAGGGGCCATATTCACAAAATATTCCTAGTCGAAGAGTTGCTCTTTGCGATAAAATTCTTAGAAAAATCTTATAATTTATATGTTTTCCTAGAATTTTCCCTTAAAGTTAAGACTAGGTCCTTGTAAAGATAGAAGTTATTCACAGCCTTAGACCTTAAAAGAGCTCCTAAGGTGAAAAACTGTTTGGAATAGGGATGAGGACTTTAAAAGTTTCTTAATCTGAGGAGAAAATGTGGAAACACAAAGAGGTCCAAGAGATATTCTCCAAACACTGGATGACAGTGAGTAAATGAAATGCTACAGATTAGATCGTGCAGGTGTTATGTTAGTGGTCGATCTCATTAAGGATACGCACACATCTCCCACCTAACATCATAACACAAGAAATGACCAGCACTAAGCCTTCCATCAGCAGAGTGATCACATGAACAATGGCAGCACTGTCACAGTCAGCAGTTCATTTCATCTCCACTGGGTGTCCACACCTTACAGGCTCACAAAGGGGTGTGTCTGTGACAACCAATCACATCTGTTAAAAGAACGCAGCATACCAAGCAACAGGGTCAACCACACCTCCTCACTAAGGTAAAAGTTTCTGTTCCTTCCTTGCTCAGAGTTGCTGTGAGAACTTTCCTAAATCACTCCTACGCTAAGACCCCTTACTCATTTTTAGGCTAAGTTAAGAGCTCTCTGAGTGTTCTCAGGATGTCTGTGAATACAGCCTGAGGTGTTTTGTGCAACCGGTCCCAGACGTTCAGGAGGATTTTAACGTGAGCTGAATTTTCTCCTCTCCAAGACAAACATCCTGTGATTGAAACCTGTCAACACACTGAAAAAGGTTGTTTTATGATTAAAATCTGTGTTTTTCAAACACTGCTTATCATGATTGCAGAGGGGCTGCTAACTAAGGTGGCCAAATCAAAAACACAAATGTCCCTACCTGTTGCCAGTGCTTAGTTTGTCCCTTCTGAGCTGCTGTAGAAATATAGCAGTGCAACATGGCAGACTCCGTGGGCGAAGACCTGCTCCCTATGTAGATATAAAGACTCATTCAAAGGTAACAAAAACACAGCAGTTCTTATTTTCAGGTGATTATACACTAAAGAAAACACACTCATTATATTACATTACATTTCTGCCAATATATCCCTCTAAATCCTACACACTTTAAATGATTTAATACATTTTCACGATTCTTTTCTGTTGGTGAAGTCGTTCTCTAAACATCTCTGTAATCTCATTACCTGCTGCCTTAAAAAGAAACAAGCACTCACAGTTTTTAATGCTTTTCATTTTCTAAATAAATGTTTGAATCTTCTCTGTTTAGGGATGATAAACTGTAGATCTCTGTGAGAAGGCGTGTGTGTGTGTGTGGATGTTTGGACAAAGCCTTAATCTGTTGACTGTACTAACCACTTACTCTACTGTATATTTAAACACACGGTTCTTATTCAGCAAACAGAAAGAGATGGAAACCAGCAAGAAACTGGTCCAATGTAAGACAAAGGCTCATTCTGTGTGTATTTAAAATTGGGATTTAAGTCAAAATAATAAATCTTGATATGTGTAAGCCCTGTCATGATATGGAGTATGCATAAATGTAGATGTATCTATCCAAGAGTGTAGGATTTGAACATTGGGGTTGACACATGAAACAGTAGGTTTGGGGGAGTCAGACACTTTTCCTCCATGCTCCAATTTGTGCCTTTTTCTGCATGAATTTATGATGTACATGTCTAAATTCTGTCAAAATAAAAGCCCTCTGCTACTTTCATGTTTTCATTTCAGGGCACAAATGCACATGATCTGAATATTGAGGCGTGTTCCCCCTGAAATCCTCGCCTGTGTACGATGGCTCTGTTCTATATTTAACCTGCACCTTTGTCCGAAATCTGAATGATTTTGATGTGATCAAATCAAAATGAGGGCCCAGAGGTGATGTCAGCTGCTGGATGTCTGCTACTATTGTGTCTGCTGCCATTCTCTTTCTTTTCCCAGCGTGACAGTGGAAAACACCCTGAAGTCTGCAGCAGCTGCAGGAGTGAAGCAGCTTCTCTAAATGAAATGCTAAGTTGCAAAAATGAGATTATTGTTTAAACGAAGAGTGGTCGAGCTCATTACCATGACTGGACACATTTATATGACTTGTGGTAACAGTCAGAGCAGCACAACATCCTACGCAGATATTTGTATGACATTTTATTCCCTTGTTGGCCTCACTGGTAGAGATAAACGCCTGATTTTGTGGTTTTCCTTTTGTTTTACGTGAAGAGTTTGTAGAGGCCCGAAGAGCTAAACATCCAATGACTCAAAAGAAAAAAAGATATTGAGAGGAAAGTCAAATAAACAAAGAATTGTGGAGCAGGAATATGTCTTTTTGCTTTCCTATCCTGGCAATCATCTCCCCTTACATATATTCTACAACTGTTACGGGGCTCTGACTGGAGCCTATCCCAGCTGACACTGGGTGAGAGGCAGGGTTCACCCTGGACAGGTCACCAGACTATCACAGGGCTGACACATAGAGACAGACAACCATTCACACTCACATTCACACCTACAGACAATTTAGAGTCACCAGTTAACCTGCATGTCTTTGGACTGTGGGAGGAAGCTGGAGCACCTGGAGGAAACCCACGCTGACACGGGGAGAACATGCAGACTCTGCACAGAAGGGTTCCCTCACCCTGGGTTTGAACCCTCTTGTTGTGAAGCGATTATGCTAAACACTGCACCACCTATGTCAGACAAGCTCGACAAAAATGATAGAAGGATGTATTCACGATGTTAGCTTTTATGAACAAGGCAAAACATGAACCGAGGCTCATAGAAAAACACAGAAGTAGAGGCCGAGACCTGTGTGTGCCCCCATTCCCCCTCTGGGGATCAGTAAAGTATTCTATGTATTTATTACAGAATATAGACCATGGCTGACCAAACGTTCGTATCTCTTTACTGTAAAAAATTATGCCAGTTACTTTGGGGCAGCACGTAGCCTTACAGAGATGATATAAACAAATGAACGGTAGCCTTGAGATTTTCTGGCTGATGATAATTCATGTCATCTTTAAAATATGTCAGCAACTAAAATATGTTCTTCTCCAAATCTCTTCAACATTACCACAGAAACCAGGAGGAAGCAAACCTGGCAAACGTGTTAGTGTGACATCATGGTGACTTGGTCTATAGGAGCAAAATTAGAATTGCAAAAATTAGGAAAACACACCAAAATAATGTATCCTCTTTAGCAAGTATTCCATCTATTCTTTATGTTTCAACCAAGAGCTGTCCCTGTCACTTCATACGACAAGTTTAACATAACTTCGCCGTAGTTGTTGTAGTAGTCGGCACAACTTTAGGCAAATATCGCACTCTACGGGGATATACCGCTCAATCATTAATAACAAAGACACGTCTAGTCACATCAACGATGGTTGTTTTCTGATGCGCCTTTATGACTCGTGGCCAAGCAGCAACCTCCACAGGTAAAAAATGAAGCCGATGCTGAAGTGCCAAAAACTGCAGTTCTTTGAACGGCCACTTGAGGCTTAGCTTATTTCTCCCTTCATGACAACAGGAGATGACTCTTTATAGAACTCACCAGTTTACATTTCATTAAGACCTAAAGTTACGTATAAATTGGGCAAATCAGCCCCTCGCTCCTACACAAGCCCACTCTACAGTCCGAATATAGTCACTTCTGGCTCCGAAAAACCAAGATGGTGACGGCCGACATGCCGAACTCGAGGCTTTAAAACGGCAGTCCACAAATTAATGGTTCGACGTCACACACACTGCGTAGCTGGTGCCAGATCGAATTACTTTCCTACATAATCAGTATCAGAATCAATCAAATCTTAACAAATTTACAGCACAGTCAATTTTGCTGTCTGAATTTAGCCAATCAAATTTGAGAAACTAGATTTCAATTTTCAAATCCATCAATGACTGAATTTGAACTTGTATATAACGTTTTGAATTTTGGAGAATTTTCCATCTAACTTCGTGAAAACAAACCAACAAACAAACGATCAGACCACAGTGTGGCAGAAACAACCAATCAGAGCAGAGCAGTCTCTTACGCAGCTGTCAGTCACTTCACAAACTCCAATTGTCAAACTAGACAGCGCTAACGTTTTCATAAACATATTTTAGTGTACTGTTTAGCTATAAAATGTGAAAGTCGGTCCGGCTGGTGTAGTGCTTGGTACTCTTGTTTAACTTTATCCAACATGGCGGCAGGGTCACAAACTTTCTTATTTCACAGCTGAACAGTAACTAAAATGTGTTTCTGAAAACACTTGAGGCGAGAAATTGGCAATGCAGTAAAGTCACCGACACACCGAGCTGACAGTCGGTTGATGTTGCTCTGTCTGTCACATGGTGTGTCCAGCACCGTTGGCCCTTTGTTGGCTTTTTTTCAGCCAATTCAGCACATTAAATTAGTGACGGCGGACCCTGGTAGTGAATAAAATTGCTGATTAGCGCACAGGAAGAAGAACAGAAGTGAGGAGAGTAAAAAAAAAAAACAGCTAAAGTCCGTGGATGATGTCACAGCAGCTACAGTACACCCATTATTTTTAGTTTATTCTTGTGGCTCTCACATTTTTTGGATATAAATATCTGATTTCTTTATTTAACTGTGGGATGAGAAAATGTTTAAGACCCTTTCCCTACTCTCCATAAAATTTTAGAAACCCTCCCTTCATCAAAACAAAATGCACATACCTCTCCCCTTACCCCCATAACTTTTATTTTAATACCGTCCCTTAGCACCGTATGAAATCTAATAATAGATCTGAGCCATAAACAGTGTGTCAGTATCCCACAGCAGCATCTGCCCACCTGAACTTTTCTTAAAAATCAAAGTTAATCAAGCCAGTATGTCGTTTTTATGGATCAAAAGGAAATATGGTCTTTGTCTAGACTGAATCAATTTTCCTGTTGTTCTGTGCTGCTTCATCGTTATATCACACCTCAGTGCTCAGAGGACAGACAAGACGCAGTGCACATGTTTAACTTTAGGTGGCACCATGGTACCGTCAGTGGCTGCTGCCTGGACAGAAGCTGACGTCCACCACTTCACAGCACTTCTCCTCAGCTCTCTTTAAAGTGTGTGTGAATGCCAATATGCCTTTTACACATTTGAATTTCAAACACATTTTAATTTGCCGTTATTTTATTTTTGTCTAACTATTTTTTTGAAGTGGTAATACAGAAAGTGTCTCACACTCTAACTTGTGAGTCTATATTTAGTTCATTGTTAAATTAAATCTGCTCCTGATCTCCAGGGTGACGACGTGTCTGGCTCTTGATCATCTGTACAGTGACATTTCTGCAGCAGCTATGCCAGAAGATACCCACTGCGTACTGACAATATGCAGCGTGCTGATGACTAGTTATCACTTGGCACTTCATATAATATCCCAGTCCCTCTCCTCTGCATTTCACTCTCTTGCCTGAGGAGTCCAGTCTTTTTTACACCTCATTCTTCTTGTCAGGACGCCAAAGATTTTCTGTCAAATTTAGTTTGAAAGCATTGCAATCGTATTAGAGCGGCGGCTGATTAAGACCTAAATTCCCACTGCAGAGGACGCGGGAATAATTGCAGAAAGTCAAATACATTTTATCATATTACTGAAAATAATGTCATTATTTTAATAACTCATCCAGATACCTTGTGAATAAGGAATGAGCTTTGAAAAATAGCTATAGAAATGAGTCATTGCCGAGTGACAGGCTGCTGAATAACATCACACAATCTCGGAGTAAATGATTATTTTGCTGTTGCTCTGGGCTCGTCACGGGAACAATGCCTGTGTGTACCACGCCACATGACGGCTTTCGCCTAATTTTGTCTCTTTAAAAGGTGGGAGATAAATAAGCCTTTGGAGATAATTCTAGACCAGCAAACGCAAACACAATAGTGAATTATAATTAATCTTGCGTGGGTGAAATTATGGGGAGCATTGTCTATTGTACGCTTACGCCTGCAACAGTTTAATAACTGAAAATCAGATGCTTAATTTCCTGTGTGGATTGCGGTAAACATCCCCCTCCTGAAACAATCGTCCACTCGTGAGCAATAAGCAGTAAAGCAGACGCTGATATTTATCTACATATGGAAGTTATTTACTGTACTTTCACAACAGTACACAAGTCTTTGACAGTGACAATCTAATCATTTCTAACTGTGTGCAGATTGCATAGTGAGCAGGTTTTGCTACTTGCTGGAGCCGGACGCTCTCTATGGAGCTACAGAATATCAACGTATACAGTCAGACTCGTCAGAGAGGCTCTGTGAACACACGGCAGTGTTGGCCTGCAGCACTGTACTGTACGCCTGTGTGGGTTTATTCGGATTCAGATTCCAAGGGTTTCTAGTGAGTGTGCCCCTATTAAACTATCAATATTAAACATCACAATTCTGGTCAATATTTAATGAGGCCTATTTTCTAACAATGCAGCTTTCAGGGCTCAGAATCAATATTTCAAAAATGTTAATTTTTCATAACTTTAGCTTTGAAAGCCCAAGTGCATTATTAATATCTGTTACAAGAGAAGTGTGAAAAGTGACAGATTCCATATGCATTTTATAAACATAGTGGAGGTGAAAACTATACGCTGTGCACTGATTCCACCACAAGTCTCGACTGTACTGTCAGCCTGCTGGATTCTGGGCATGTGGGACAAGGAGATCTCTGTCAGAGGCTGTGTATTTTGCCACCCCTGCTGTGTTTAAAATCCATCACTGCTGAAAGAGTTCTCCTCTTTCTAACTTTTCTTTTATTGCAGTCTAGAAATCCCATCTCTGCTGTTCTTTCTCTTTGTCCTCCTTTTGTTTATGAGTCTCATCGTGAGCAGCCGCTGCAGTCTCGCCTCCCTCGGCCGCTCGTGTCTCCCCTCCTCCTCCCTCCTTCTCCTTCTCCCTCTCTCTGATGATCTCCACCAGCCTCTGAAACTTCTGGTTTAACTCCTCCATCCCTCCGACCACTCTCCCATCGTCCTTCTCCCCGTCGCTCTCCAGTGAACTCAGTGACTCAGCCCTTGAGTCACGGCCCTCAAACTCATAAGTCTGCAGTGAGTCATAGGGCGGCTGGGACAGGTCAAAGGTGACCTGGTCCAGACGGATATTCAGGAGGTCTTCCATACGGAGGGGCTGCGGGTTGGTGGCCTCTGCTCTGGCAGGCTCCGCCCCGCATGCCCAGCCTCTGTTGTTGCCAAACATCCCCCCAGGTAAGGACAAAGGCTGCGGGGTCAAATCCTTACTCTGGAGTCTGCACATGTTCAGTAGCTGCACTCCCGCTGGGTACAACCCTCCACTGCTAGTCCCGTTCATACACGTCCCTCTGCTGTTTGGATTCAGGGAGCCAACAATGCTGTACGTGTCTCCTTTCAGGTAAACAGGAGGGTTCACAGAGCCGATCTCACTGCCATTTGAATAATTTCGCTCTGAAACGGAAGGGATGGAGGAATCAGTGTCAATGTCATCTAACGTGCAGCTGGTGGCTGCAGTGCTGATCTGAGTCTGCGATGACCCCGGTCGCCCCTCTTGCTGGTTTGACGAGGAGCTGGTGTGACTTTGGCATGAAGACTCATTTGGGTCACAGTGGGTCGGATTGGCAGCGTTGGTGGCTGTTGGTGTCGACTCTGCTTCTGGTGGGTTTATCTGGACAAGAGAAGAAGAAGAAGGGTGATATGAGATGATTCAGACACACATGCAGGGATAAATGTACAGAAGCAGAAAGAGGCCATAATGATGACAATATTTTAAGCAACTGATACACTGCTAACCGTGAAATTACTACTGAATACTGAACGTTGATAGAAAATTCAAATGCACTCATCTGCACCTCAACAGAGCTGAACCTGATTGGACGAGGGTCTGATCGACTCCATTCCAAATCCTTCTTCATATCCTTTGTAGACCTGATGTTTAAGTTCATTTAACCCTAATTTGGTGTCTGAATTTTTTAATTTGCTAATTTTATTTTGAACTTTTGAACCCCAATATGCAAAATGCAGAGAGAAAGAATGAAAGAAAAAAGACGTTGTGCAAGACATGACTATCTCAGCGGAAACTGAAACGAAGTATGATTAAAAAGGGACATTTGGATTCACCCTAAGATCCATCCTTCACTCCTCCACAGCTCCACCCTCTCATCCAAATCTGGTCACTTCTGGCTGAAAAAAACAAGATGGCGACTGCGGAAATGCCAAACTCAAGGCTTCAAAACGGGAGTCGACAAACCAGTGAGTGGCGTCCATTAGTCTATGCAAATAAATCAAACACATTGCTAAGTTGGTGCCGGGTCGAACTGTTTTCTAATACAATCAATATCGGAATCAATGAAATCTGAACAAAGCTGAGTCAATTTGCTGTCTGAATTTAGTCAATCACATCTGAACAACCAGATTTCAATTTGTGAATCTGGAAATGACTGACTCAGGGCTCAGTGGGGACGGAAGACCTGCTGCAGCAAGCGAGCACGGCATCTGTGATCATTTCGATTTGCCCAGTGGACTTCACTACAACCCGACATGTGACGTGCTTTATGTTCTAAAACCAGCCAGCCAACTTCTCTCTGCAACGTTCCAAAACGGTTTCATCTCGTCGTGAATCTTTGGTCTGAACTGGGCTTTATATTTTCTTTTTTTTTTTTGGCGCTGGGCCTCTTAAGATGCCTTCTGCTGACGACCATTTTAAAGCCCCAACCTACATTGTTTTCAGGACAGTGCAGTATTTTTCAAAATGTTGTAAATTCAGTGGTACAGTAAAGGCCCTGACGTTTTTAATCCATCAGCTTCTCACTCTGAGTGATGGGATCCTAAAGAAACATCTTTAAAACTTCTTAAACCTGCGCTCTGGTCAGTTCACATGACAGATTTCTGTATTTGTGTTTCTGTCTGAGCTCTTCTTAACGGTTTGAGGTGGAGGGGACTCAGCTAAAAAAGAGGTGATGTCACTTGCTTCCGTGCACAACTCAGAATGCAGCAACATCTGATTCAGAATCTGAGGACAGCTGGTGGGTTGCTATAGTGACTTTCCATCAAATATGATTCCAGATGAATCACACTGTTGCATATTTAGGCATGAATATTTTAGGCTATTTTAAAGGGGAACAAGATTATTCACTTGCTTATACCACTCAAATCCTTATGGCCTTTTTTTGCTTTCATATATGTGCTACATGTTTGTGTTAGTATCAACACTATGATCTGACCTTTGCCTGATCCTGCTTCTCTTTTGTGTCAGCAGCGTTTGCTTCACTGCCCTCATTTCTCTCTGTGATTCTGCTCTTCGCCAGCGTGTGCTCTGCTTCGTAACTAGCAGGGCTCATCTCAGGAGAACGCAGCGGAGGCTCAAAGGTGCTCTGGTTCTGGATGACAAGGGAATTGCCAATGTGACCTCCAGTGAGCCCATGGGTCAGCTGCGTTAGCTGCAGTCCTGCCTCCAGTGGCCCGACTGGATAATCTCTGAGAACAGGCAGCGTGTGAATGCCGTAACAGAAGCGTCCGTAGAGCGGTGCCGAGCCCGGCCTCTGCTGTGGGTCCAGGCCGAGGCGTGGGTTACGACTCCAGCTGTACGTCCTGGCCCTCGGCGCATTCTGCTGGGTGTACCATCTGTGCCAAGAGATAAATGTCAGAGAGGCACACACTCACACACACACACGCACATGCTCCCATAAGCCACCATGGCAAGGATAAACTTATTTTTTTATTTTGGGGAGCAGCTCACATGTTCCTGTTGTTGTGCATGTGCTGTATTCTGTGCATGCTCTGCAGCGCTGTAATGTCAAAAGCTGCGGTGTCTGCTTCCCCTCCCCCCTCGTCATCATAGGATATGATGTTCTCCCTGACATCATCCTCCTCGAAGGGTGAGTGGGAGTCTCGCTTCTGATGGCGCAATGACAGCGAGAGTGCACACACCACTAAAGGGCAAAAAAGAGACACATGACCACCATACTCTTCAGACATTACTGAAGCAACCTGACACAACTGCTCAGCATCTTTCAAAAAGTCACAAACAACATATTTATAGTGCTTCAGAGAACCCAACAAACGTACCCAGCAGAGTGGTGACACAAGCCAGCATGGCGAGCAAGGTGACCAAACTGAATATGAGAGACGGGGAGGCAGAAGGCACGGGGAGACAAACCATGTGTCTCTCCCATCTCCTGTCCCTCTGTCTCCCTCTATCCTCTGTCTGCATGCCCCCTCGCAGACAAGGACAAATGGTCACAGTGACCGTGCCAGTGTTGGTCAGACCTGAGGCCCCATCGCGCAGTACCACCGGCACATAGAGGGTGAGTGAGGATGAGGAGAAGCCAGGGAGGGGCTCCAAGACTGACTGGAGCACCAGGCTGGCTGTCACACCTGATAAAGTGGCAGAGAGAAAAAACACACACACATCAAACACGGTCACTGCACAACACCCTCACACATGTTTTGGCTGGTGTCATGTTTTTTTGATTGTGCGTGAAATAGAAAAACAGAGCCAATTGGTGCAACCTCCGCTTTCCCTGATGGTTAGGTTGAGGGCAGAGCTGGATTCAGGAGGGATGCTGAAGTGGACCGGGGTGTCCTGCACTCCTTGGTCCCTGTCGATGGCTCGCAGGACCTGAACTACCTGCGTAACAGATCAGGATGCTTCATTTTAATGCTTATCAGGATAAATCCAGGGAAAAAGAGACAGATTTTTGCACAGAATTCTACCTATTTGACCTCTTCAGGGATCTAAATATTATTAAAATGAAAGAATCTGCAACATGAAAATCACTCTTTGGTAGAGCTGCTGACATTGGTGACAGGAGGGGTTACAAGTGCTTAAATTTAAGGGGTCATACGGAGAAACAAAGTTGGAATAAATTGCTCTTTTTTGAAGCAAATTACAGTTCTAATCCTTCTGACTTTAGTCAAATTAATCCCCACTTTGATGATACTTCTTGTCAACATTCTTTCTGCAATATCCATTCAATGTATTTACACTCTGTAATTACCTCTCTGTATAGTAGCTTTCTTTGTTAGTGGCGGAGTCCACCACACGGAAATCACAGGAAACAATGCAACATGTATTCAAACACTACTGCTTTTCATGTTATATCAGCCGCACTGTTTACTGTTCACTCTCCTAATGCTGTATCAGAGATGTATGAAGCAACTGCTAACGCTAAAAGTTTCTACGGTTGTTGCTTCACATTTAACTGGTACAACCCAGGGTGGCTTTTATTGTGAAGCAAAGAATAAGCCCCCTCGCAGTATTTTATTAATATCCATCAAAACATTAGAAATAAAAATCTATACAATTTGCAGAGTTGAGTTAACAAAGACGCGAGTTTGGTTCCGCTGTACCAATTCCTAATGATGGGATGTTTTAACAACAGAAGACCTAAATTAAAGGATCTTTATACGATAATCAGAGACTATCTAAGATTCAAAAGCTGACTGCACATTAGTCTCAACACAGAGGTGTCTGTGCTGGCGGGTAGCAGCTAACGGTGCTAACAGCATGAGCAGTGCTAACTATGGCAACAGTGCTGACAGAGCTAACAATGTTAACTGGGAATAATATGGACGGTGGGTGCTACTTTTCCACAGCAACGCCATCCCAACACCAGTGATAACTGTCCCATGAGCACAGCATATAGCGCCGACGATTTATCCTTTGCTAAGTCAAAGCCAAAGACTTGGTACATTAGGGCTGACCTTCGACTCCAGTTTTGGACATTCGAAGCTTTGGAGCTCAGAACAAATTTAATTCGAAGCATTCGACGACGCGGAGGTCAGCGCAGACTAAAAGCGGACGTCCGCAAGCCCTGTGCGTGCAAAGCTCAGATTTTACGACTGCACGGACTCAGCTCCGCACACCAGTGTCACTCAAAAGACTGCTTGGCATGTATTTTTCACATCGCCATGACAGAAACGCACAAGAATTGCGGGTAATGTAGTGTTTCATGAACATTTTTACAGGAAACTACAACACGGAAGTGCGCTCGACTATGGAAGCCCGAATGACTGTGGACATTCCTCACGGAGTCTGCTCCGCTTATAGTGTGTCCGAGTCTGTGGGCACCTTAAATTAAAACCCTCGGCGCACACTGCAGCACAATCAAACAGATGCGCAACTCAGAGCATCAGAAGTGTCTCTGACACCGGACTCAGAGCGGATCTGAGTGTGCTTGTTGGGTTAGTGTTGCGTTTAAGGCCTCCCCCCAAAACACACACACACATAAAAAAAAAAAAAAAGCGCCGAAGCTTCGATTTATTTATTTTTTTTCACAATCGAATCCCGTGCCATCGAACGAAGCTTTGAAGCTTCGAATTTTTTGGGTCAGCCCTATGGTACATCATGACAAATTATAGTGGATATTATTATTATATATATTATTTTGTGGATTTCAAGCTAAATGTTGTGCCTGGGACATGTTTAATTATGATACTCGTTACCTGGAGAGGTTGGAAGGAGATACATGTTTCATTCCTGTACCAAAACCAAAATCAAACCCTGACAAGTGTAGGGTTTGCTACTGAGACTAGCTAGCTGCAATGCTTTACAGGAACCAGTGAAGGGAAACAGGGAAGCTTCACTCATTTTTAACCAGTTTGTGTCATCGCAGTGTGTGCCGATGAACGGTGTTTGGATCTGACAGAGCCCCTTGTTCTTCTAAAAATGTTATAGTATTTCTTCAGGGTGTGCAGTTAGTTACAATGTTGGCTCCATGCTAGCTCGGACAGCTTCAAAGACCATCACAAAGGGGCGGGGTTTAGCCAGGGGTCAATTTGCTAGCCAGTGTGCACAGGGACTTACATGCACTAATATGCACATGTGGCTGGGCTGTCTACCACAACAACAAACAGAGAGTGGGCAAAACTTCACATCACATAAGAAATAATTGCCGCTATATTAATGCTCTGAATATGGTCGAGAGCTCCTTTAAATCAAATCAAGAATAAAACAGAAAAGAAATTCTTGCATGAGTCTGAGACAGAACAGATAAAAACAGGAAAGAACATTTGACATTAAATGTAATATAAGGCAAAAACAAAACAGGAACACACCTGACCCGGGGCACTGGAGTCACATACAGACGTTGTATACTGTCTGTCCAACTCCGGCGCATTGTCATTCTGATCCAGTGTCTCTATGGCAACCACAACCCTTGACACAAGATTTGGATTGTCTGAAAGAAAAGGAAACGGACACTAATGTTGAAATGATCACTAAATTTGTATCATTTTTACGGCACACTTTGTATTCCCAACTCCGGGCGGTGCTTTTGGTGAAATATGACTCTGGTAGGCTCTGCTGCTCATAGCGCCCGAGGGCAGAGGGGCTGACATACCCCTCTGTGTGGCGATGACAGTGATATTATGCCACTGCTCCTGCTCGCGGTCCAATTCCATCACTGTGTTGATAAAGCCGGTGTCAGAGGCGATGCGGAACAGAGCCTCAGGGTCTGACTGGGGATCGATGGAGTACCTGAGATACAGAAACAGGCAAGAGTGGGAAAGAGAGGAGGAGGATGGTGAGGAGAGCTCGGACTGAGTGAGTGAGTGAGTGATGGTGAAATAACCACCTGATGTTGGTGCTTTGTCCTGTGTCTGGGTCCACAGCATGCACCCGGCCAACAGAGCAGACAGGGGGGCAGTTCTCAGACACATCCAGATGGTACCGAGCCTGAGAGAATCGTGGCGGCTCATCAGCATTAAGCACCATGACCCGGACTGTTGCCTGGTCCTTAAAGGGACCTTTCCTTAGGTACCGTGCATCCACTATAGGGTTGGCAACTTCCACAGAGAAAGTGTAGGAGTTACGGGTTTCATAATCCAGCAGCTGTCGGGTGAAGAACAAAGCAGCGTCAATCTGAAGGGTATACTTCACTGAAGGCCTTTCATGTTTGATTCATATGTATATATGTTCTATATTTCATCCCACATACAGTACTTCATAATTAATTTCATTCATCGACCTCACTCTTTTCTCTCTCTCCATAAAACTCTCCTACAATATTACATTTTTGAGTTATTCCTTTCATCATCGACCTCTTCTTACCTCATCCTCTGCAACCTCTTAATTTAAGATTTTACTGAGCAATAGTTCTTTGAGTGCCCAATGCTTAGAAGTAAAAAGACGAGTCACACTGGCTGCCTTTAACACGGCCTGCTCGCTTCAAATGAGCTGCAGTTTCTCACCAGCTGCTTATTAGTTCATTGTTTCTTTAATTGCTTGTGTAGAGCCTTGGGAATCTGAACCTGTCAGCCACAGAGCGTGTTCGAGTGGAGAACTCAAGTGTTTAAATGGCCAAATAAAATTAATTTCCAACAGTAGACCAAAGAAAATGTGTTAGAATGTCACATATTAGATGTTTTTCTCATTACGTGGCCATTTAAGCAAAACCACCCACATGTAGCTTCAGATCCTCAGTTATTATGACAACTTAACACGCAGACACTCTGTCTTACCTTGTTTAGAACAATCACAGCCTCCTGGTCTCTTCCGGTTATATTGAATACCTCGGCCTCCTCTGCGTCCAGGATTGTGAACTCCAGCTGTGCATTTTCTCCCAGGTCTGGATCAGTGGCAGTGAGGCGGCCCACCTCCACACCTGGCGCTGCCAGCTCCGACACAGAGAATGACCATGCACCTGCAGAGAGGATAACAATGAATACAATGGTTCTGAGCACTGGCGCTGACTGCAGATGAGACTGTGTGAAAAAATAACCCGCACACGCTACATGTGTCTGGCTCAATTTTGTGTCAACTAACATAATGCATGTGGCTATTACGGCTTTCACTCACATATTTCAAGTCTAGTTTAAAGGATTGGTTCACATTAACACAAGTCTATCTTAATCCATTACACACACGCCCCTGTAAACGTACATTGGAAGAGTTATTTGTCGCTTTAATCATTCCACCTGCCCATACTGGCTGTAAAGAGATCCTTCCTAGTGCAATACCAGTGAAAGAGACGAGGGACTAAATCCACAGCCGTCAGGTTGTGTAAAATGCATTCTTACTTTCAGCTGAGGCTCATATCATCCTCCAAAGTTACACTATATTTAGTGTGGAATTCCCTCTTGGGAATGTCCTGTGGGAATGTACATTTTGAAGATACCCACTTGATATGACTCAGACTGCTGAAACCTTATCAGATTTGGCTGAACCTTAAAATGCATTTTTGCACTGAATATCTCTTTGAGGCCAGTAAGAAGAGGAGGAGGAGGAGATATAGGCATGTTTGAGGACAGACAAAAATATAAAACAAGCCTTTAAAGGTATAGACTCATACAAGACTCTGACTTCTGCCTGTATTTTCATCTTGTTTTGCTTTGTTCAGGATGTTCATGGCCACAGTGCTCAGGTGAGGTTATGGGCTATTTAAAAATATAGTGACCAGGTAACAGACTATAAAGTGGCAAACATCCAAGAGGAGGCTAAGATCATCTTGGACCCAGAGCTGAAAAAAAAAAAAAAAAAAAGCAAATATAATGAGGGGAAACACAAATTAGACAAAGCAGGGGTTGGCTTTAACTTTTACTTTCGCTGCCGATACAGAGCAGGTACAGCTGCGGCATGACCCGCCCACCATCATCACCACTCATTTCACTATCAGGCCCCTACGCTCCTTAGTCTGCAGGCAGAAGCCTTGAAGAAAATGCTAAGTTCACGTTTGACTAACTACAGTAAGAGTGGTTAAGGTTAGGGTTAGGGCTACATCTCCTTATTGACAAGGTGAATCTTGATTATTGCCACATTTGGTCTCATATTTGTTCCTGTTGCAGCAGGGTTCAAATAACCACTGCGTTAGTGGGTTTGTCTTGTATATGCTGGTGGGCGTGGTTTGTTGGAGTGTGTCGTGTAGGCTTCAAAAACAATGTGGCTGCAGCTATAAATGTCCCGCCGTTACAATTCCTGCACAGAATAGCTTCAAGTGTTTCTATTAGTCTCACTTTACAACTAAATTGTGCGCTACGAATGATTTGAACAAATACAGAGCCCTTATTTGTAATTATTTTGGCCACATACTGTACGTTAGATGTTTTCTCTTTAAATCCAAATCCAAATCCAATTTATTTATAAAGCACATTTAAAAACAACCTAGGCTGACCAAAGTGCTGTACAATAAAGGTAAAATCACAGAATAACAAAGTGCAGAGATCAAAATACAATATATCTCATCAGTTTTACCATAAAGTATGACTTTCTTGACCTTAAAATGTATGTTTTAAATTCATTTACGACATATTTGGATTTCATGTCGCAACTCAAACTGGAACAAAAGATAATATTTCTCTCCTCATTCACTGCCATTCATATTTTTTCCGATCTAAGGTCCCATGAGCTTCACCGGAAGGGGCGTGACTTCGGCACTCTATCCCATGTACACAAGTCCAAAAGTAAAGGAGCAAATTGGAGAGTGGAAATACAAAGGACTAAAAATGGGGGATAAGAGTTTAAGAGCGCTCAAAAGCTTTGGAGTAAAAGTGGGTCTTAAGTCTAGCCTTAAAAGTGTCCACAGATGGGGAATCCTTAATGGAGAGAGGTAGGCTGTTCCAAAGTTTGGGTGCAGCCACAGCGAATGCACGATCCCCTTTGCCCTTTAGCCTCGATCGAGGCACAGCCAGAAGCTGCTGGTTTGAAGATCTGAGTGCTCTGGAATTTAACTTTATTCTGAGCTGAAAGGAATACTCTATCAATATTTTATTATAAACTGAGTATCTGTGGGTTGAAGCGATAAGCCTGGTTTCCATTCTTATGTAGCACAAATTTAAACGGAATTTTTAGAAAATAGACAAAGAAAATGTGAAATTATGCACTTTGGGAGTCGGCTCACTGCAAAACGCAGTAGGGAGCGCTAATCTTCCAGTACAGAAAAAGGGGGTGCAACGAAATGGGAAGGAAACAATGGATGTATTATAACGGAGAGCACACTGGACCACAGAAACAGAGAGTTTTTAACATCTAATATGACAGCTATATGCTCTTGGAGGAGTCCTGCTAACAGTCCTGTGTGTGGACATGAGCTGTTAAAAGCCACCCACAGATGAGGAAGAGAGCTTGCAGTAACGACAGTACGTCATTACTGTAAGTCATCATTTATTCGCTGAATCTGTTTCCATTGCACTTAGACACATTTATCTTTAATCGGTACATTTACATTCTACTACCACAAGTGCAAAAACGCCTATACACCTATAGATTTCTAATGGTTTCGGGATAGCGATGCCAGACTGATCCAGACTAACACGCCTCGCAATACTGGAGGGATTGCCATGAAATTTTATTCCGACATTCAGAAGATGAAGCCTGTTGACTTTGGTGATCCTCTTACTTTTCATCTAGCGCCACCATCCGGTCAAAATTTTAATCTGCCCAATACTTTTAAAACCAACGACATCAGCCTCTGCTGTTCTTTGCGTTTTGTGCTAATTAGCAAATGTTAGCATGCTGGCACATTAAACTAAGATACTGAACACAGTTAACATTATAAATGCTAAACATAAAAATGTTAGTATTATCACTGTGAGCAAGTTAGCATACTGACACTAACACTTTTTTTTATTTAACCTCAATGTAACCAGGAAGTCCCATTGAGATTGAAAATCTCTTTTACAAGAGACTCTGGCCGAGGTAGCAGCCAATCAAAACACATTTAAAATACAACAAATACAACATATAATACAAAAATCCACAATAAAACAACAACTATTCAAACACAGTTGCCTCTCAAGAAAACAAGCACATGTCTCTGTCACCACATTCTTTATGATGCCCTTAAATTCATTCATTCATTAAATGTAGCTCAGCTGTGTTTACCCTGATCACAGTCTGGCTGAGCTGCACCAAACTAGGCGCTGAAGATATTTTCTCCCTTTTGTGCTGAAACAATTAGTTGATCAGTTGACTAGACAACTGACAGAAAATTAATCCATAACTATTTGATATCTGGTTAATTGTTAACTCCTCCAATGTGAAGATTGGCTACTTCTCCGTGTTTTATCTCACTGTAAATAGAATATCTTTGGTTTTTGAGCTGCTGCTTTCGAAGACTAGATAAATGTTAAATGTAGCCCTGCCTCATTTGAGTAATCATGGGATAAAAATAGGTGTCACCTCTATTAATACCATAACTGTGACAGACATACAGTGCATAGAAGTGTAACGCTTTAAATTAAATGATATCTGTCCTCTTCTGTTTATAATGAATCATGAGTTGTATTTATTAAACTGGAAATTTCAGCTTAGCTGAGTGAATCTGTTAGCGTCATAGTTTAGATTGCATTACAGTCTGTCCACTCAACAAGCATGAAAAGGCAGCCAGTGATCTGTGGCAGTTCATGTCTATACATCACTTGTGATGCTGCACATTGGCAGAGAAAAGCTTTCCTTTTAATCAGAGCGGCACTACCTTGCTGATTGTTAATCATTCAAATCCACCACACTATGAAGAGTGTTTAAAAAGTCACACCCCTCGCATTCAAAGAGCATACTAAATGAGCCGTTTGCTTTAATTATTAATTGGCATTATTGTCAAACAGAAAATAATAGAGTGGAGGTGGTGGGGGAGGAAGGGAGGATAAAGTCAGATATCAGTAAATAAATAACACTGCTGGCATTTGGAAAATATTAAATTGCCTCTATAAAGCGCTGTATTGCAGAACAATATATCAACACGAGGAGAGGGGACTTTAAACATTAAGATGAACGGCAGTAAGCGGAGACTGTCAGGAAGAAGAAGTAGGGGAGAGGTAGAATGTAGAGAAAAGCAGTATATGTCTCAAAGCGTTAGACGCATTCTGCAGTGATTTTACTGTCTATTGAAGCAGAAAGCACTGAACTTTAAGATGAAATATTAATAGCATGGAACAGGGAAAAGCTTGGATAAGAAAAAGCGGACATGATCTTTCACTCTTCTACGTCAAGGCACAGTCCATTTTGAACCTCAGGGACCCAATGGGAGTGTTTATATGAATGTTAATGTCAGTCATCTCTGGCAGAGGTTATGTTACTCAGGCTGATGGTAAAAACAGTCATTATGAAAAGTGCATAGAATAAAAGACGGATACCGGACTGACAAGCTGTTTAACTACTTTAGAGCTTATCTTGAACCTGTCAAGACAACGAGGACCCAAAGGAGGCAAAAAATATCAGACTCCTGTCACAAATGCCATTACAAGATGTTTCATCATTTTAATCTTTACTCGCACACACACATATTCCACAGCTGCAGAGATTGAACGCAGCCGACAGTGGTGATCTGATAACAGCAGCGCTTACTCCTTCTGAAGTGAGGGGGGTTGTCGTTGACATCGCTCAGCTTCACAGTGATGGTGGTAGTCCCTGATAATCCGCCCAGATGCCCGCCCATGTCTTTGGCCTGGAGGACGACCAGATATTCATCCCGTGTCTCTCTGTCCATGTCAGGTACAGCTGTCCGCAGGACGCCTGGTGGACAGGAGAGCCAGGACATGCAGCAAAAAAATCACAGCGGCAACAGATTTCACAGCGACACAACGTCTCTGGAAATCACCATCAAAGCGAGTCAGATGCATACATGTTTGAATTAGGACATTGAAAAACATATGACTCCAGGCCACTTCTGCTTCTGACCACATTGTGTAAAATGTGAGTTCAAATGCTCTTATTCAAACTGGACATATGGTCGCAAAGATACAACATATGATATCTGAGCGGGCCGCCGGGATTGACTGTATAAAGCGTAATCATCAGCTGGAGAGGCATTTAATGGTAAACAGCTTTGAGAGGATGTGTAGTACATATGATCAGACCTGTCTGAGGATCCACAGAGAAATAGTCCTGGCCCTGAGTGATGGCATACACCAGCCGGGCGCTGTTTCCATATGTTGGATCATCGGCATCTCTGGCTGTGACTGTGATTATGGACGTGCCTGTGAAAGAGACGAGGCGACAAAGGCGACAGGTCAAAGTGCTGTTTAAAGTAGTTAAAGCTGGTGGCTGGATCGTAAGCTTAAAAATGATACTCCACCCAAAATCTATCTTGTGAATATCAAGTACTTACATCTGCAGGATTAAAAGGATAATCCACTTCCTCTGCTGTCTATCCGTGCGGCACGGTATGTTAAAACATTCATCTTTTCGACAAAGTATGATTAAAGGCCGCGTTTTCAGGTTGAACAATTGCCCTCCTTGAATCTCTGGAGCCGTGCCAGATGCTGTGTGTTTAGCTCCATGTTGGCAGAAGTAGGATTGTTTGTAAGATACTGAAAATGTTTGGACAGTGGGGGAGTCAATAATGCTGCAAGCGTAGGTTGAGAGTTGCAACAATTAGGAGATCAATTGATCTGTTGATTGACAGAAGATTAATCTGCACCTGTTTTGAACCAATTAAGTGTTTAAGCCCTTTTTCAAACAAAGCTGTGACGCTTTTCATTGTCATATAGAATAGTTAAAAAAAAAAAAAAAAGCAATTTGTATACATCTTCCTGGACTCCTCGATGTTGTGATGGGCATTTGTCATAATTTTCTAACACTGTACAAACAAAACAATCATTTTTACCATTACAGATTATTCAATAGACATAATCATTTGTTGCAGTCTTTTGTAGGTTGAGACATTTCTATGGATTTTTGTCAAATTACTTTAGTCATTATTTAGTTGGTCCATTACTTCAGTCTCGACTAAAATATCTCAACAGCTACTGGATAGATTGCCTCTAAATTTCGTACAGATATTCATGGTGCCCAGATGATGAGTCCAAATGACTTTGGTGATCCCTGACCTTTCCTCTTGTGCCACCATTAGGGTTTCAATAAAATATTTTGACAACTATGAGCTAGATTACCATGAAATATGGTACGAATCATTACAACCTATCCTGATCCTCTGATTTTTCATCTAGCACCATCATCAGGTCAAAGTTCGTTCAATACTTTGGTTCATGACCATGTGTTTAGTGCTAATTAACAAATGTTAGAATGCTGACACGTTAAAGTAAGATAGTGAACATGGAAAATATTACACCTGCGAAACAACAGTATTTTAGTATTGTTACTGTGAGCGTGTTATGTTGACATTAACATTGAGCTCAATGCACAACAGCCTCACAGAGTTGCTAGCATGGCTGTCGACTCTGTCCATGTCTGAAATCGCTCCCTATTTTCTATATTGCTGTTGCACTATATTCACCATCCGCCATTTTGTCTTAGGGAAACACCCTCAAAAATTTGACACTGAACAAGAAAAGTTGTGTCTGTTTGGTGACTTTCTGCTAGCCAAATGATGAGTGCGATATCACAGTCATAAAAATGACAAATATTCAACTGTATAAAAATAATGTACGCAGTCACCATGATGTCACCCATCGGTCTGCAGACTCCATTTTAAACCCTCAAGTTAACCCCTGGGAACAGTGCAAGGCTCTACAGCCAATCTGACAGTGGCCAAACTGGGGAATTACAACTTTCAAGTTCGTCATGTGATGCTACTGTGCCCTGAAAGACTTATTAGCATCACAGCACCTGCAAAATAACTCATTTCATCCATCTGGTCCGATAACATTTTAAAATTTTTGAAAAATAAAAAAAAAGAGAAAGAAATGCGCTATTAAATAATTTTATCCCAATTCAAGTTAGCTGAGGGCTAAACTGGAAGTTAGCCACTTGGTCGACAGAAGACTCTGGTGCACCTATGGGCCTAACAATATAGAAGCTCTGGGTAATTTTATACCCCAAAATTTGAACTTTTTTGGGCTTCATGCACCACTGAACAACTTTGATAGCCTCCTGTATCCAGTTCTGTTTATACATCCATCATGCTCGAGTTGGGCCGTCACCATTTTGGACTTTTGGAGCCAGAAGTGACCACATTTGAGGATGTAGCTGTGGAGGAGGAAGGGTGGATCTGACTCTCAGACAATGGTGACACCGTGCAGAAAGTTTGCCACATTCTTAAATATGTGCAGCTTTTAGCCTTAAAATTTCAAGGGTGAGGTTTACAAAAATTCACTCCCTACAATTATGGTGAACAGGGAAATTAGCAATAGAGACCAAAACTGTTTTGGTACCAGGCTGCAAACATGTTCTTTTCAGATGTTAAGTTGGGCATTTTAACATGGTAGTCTTTAAGAACTGACTCACTTTTGGAGCCAGCCTCAAGTCGCCCTACAAGGCACTCTGACGTTGGCTTCATTTTTCAGCCCTGAAAGTTGTTGCTTGATCTCACTCTACTTCTCCGTATAAACTTCTGAGTGTTGCACACAGCCTTTGTCTTGTTTTGCTGAGAAAACTCATCACCATTGGAATCCATGGCAAGCTGAATAAATTCAAGCTGAGAGCAGCTGCTGCTCCACATGAAGACTTTTACAGCCACACTTGAAGAGATTTTGGGTGGAGCGTCACTTTAGTGTTGTTTTAGCACTGTACCTATGTTGGCCATCTCTGGCACCATGGCAACATAGGGTTCATCAAGGAAAACAGGCGGGTTGTCATTGATGTCCTGAACTCTGATGATGAACTCAGACGAGGGCTCCAGGGCTCGGCCGGTCTGACGATCTGTAGCTGTTGCGATGAGGCGGTACTGGTCTTTCTCCTCGCGGTCTAAAGACTTGGTGACATGTATGTTGCCTGTGTTGCCGTCAATAACGAACACAGAGCCCACCCCCTCCCCCTCCAACATATACTTAGTGCGTCCGTCTCCTTTGTCCATATCTGTGTGCAGCTGGAAAATAAAACCATACAGAGTAAATTACTGTTCCACCTGGAGGCAACATTGCTTTCACACATGGTGCACTGATGATGCAGGTATTGCCCATTAACGCTCATCTATCTGTCTGGCAAGTACTGCAAACAGGACTGTGTGAAATAGGTGATTTATGTTAAGACGGGATGTGCTCAGTGAATCTGAAATGAATGGCACCAGGTGTGGAAGATACATATGGGACCAGAATGAGTGCTGATGCGCTCAGCTAATTAACTCACTGGACCAAAGATGCCATTGGGGGTTTGTTGAGGGCAGAGCCGCATCGATGTGGACCGTGGCCCTGCGAATGTCCTACATGTATGTACACAGATGTATTCTGCAGTATCCATCTGTAAATCTTTCTGTCACTTCTATCCATCTGTCCCTTCCTTCCCCTTCTTGTAAATCCATCTGCCTGACTTCCCTGTACCTTTTAAGCTACCTCTTTTTCCAGTCCTTGTGTCTCTCTCTTTTCATCAAGTTACCTCGGCTACACAGAATGCCCATCTGCTCACATTTCTCATTCCCCCCTCCCTCTCTCTTCCCCTCTCTGTCGGACTGTTTTGCTCCCTGGTGCAGAGTACTCGTTCGGTATTTCATGGCAGAGAGGATATTAGTGTGAGCTAGATAGGTAAAAGGCCAAACACACAGAAATAGAAAGCTAAAGAGATTACTCAGCCTTCATCACACTGAGCTTTCTGACCAGGAACCTTCACATCTCTCTACCCTTAAGGCGCATCTGCACATGTTCATAATCCACAAGGCTTACTCACAACCTCTGCTGCGGACCTCAGATACTCATGAGAACTAAAAGCCTCAAATTTTAAAATTCAGCCACAGCCATGACTGTTTACAAATTTCCGCAGCAATTTATAATCATTTTTGCAGGGCATTAATTTTGTTACACGAAAATGTGTTTGTGAAAAAGGGGATTTTAATTGCCTGCCTAATGCAGTGCAGAATTAGTCAAATGATTTGTATGTAAGACATTTGTAAGACAGATGCCCACATCAAAGTATTTGTATATTCCAGCATAATACATGTCAACACATGTTCACGCAAGTGCAGCTCACACAGACTGCATGACTAGCAGGCAGGAGAAAATATAAGATTAGAGTACATTCTGTGTGTGTGGTGTGTGTCTTGGAGGATAAAGTTGGGGATTATAGAAACTCGTGATAGCATACCCTACAAATTGCTAGATAAGGGACTCAGGGTTTCTTATTCATCCCTACACCCACATCCCTCTCCCTCCTTTCTTCCTTAAAGCTAGCTTCGATTTTGATCCCACACTTCACCACGAGAGACATCTTTGTCAGAGTCTGTGCCTATCGCGCTCCCCTGTTCTTTGCCCCCCTCCCTCCCCTCCTCTCTCCATCCTCCCTTTCTATCCAGCCCTCCTCTCCTCACTGTCTAATTGCTGGCTCAGTCCTGCTGTGCTTCAGTCAGCATGAAAAAACACTCTCACTGTGGGGAAGAAATTTATCCGCCCCGTACAAACAAAGCTGGAAAAAGAGGAAATTGTCTCTTCCAATTCCTTTGTCACTTTTTCTCCTACTCTGTAATCTGAATTTTCCCCCCCTCCTCTCACTCATGCAGTACATCCACCTCCGGGTTTAAATCTGCCTCACGCTGCTTCCTTTGGCAGCCAAATTCTTCCTCCGTTGCACGGGTTGAGGCACCTGTGATCTCAACAGTTGATAAGTCACCTCAAACCACACACTGGTGATGGGTTTGAAATGATCGCCTCTCTATTTTTGGCAAACAGACTGAGCTGCCTGTGAGAGAAACGCTTCCAGCCCCCTCGCAATGCGGTGATGCTTTATTACATGAATATCAACATCAAGACTGCTTGCAGAGGAATGAGCAGTCTCGTATGTTGTCTCGTACTGATTGCTTTAACACCCTTCCCTGACTATATCAATAACGACCAGAGAGGAAGATTAAACATTTATGAGGTGTATACTGCACTGGTAAGAATCCAATCTAGACTGTCACTATAAAGTATACTGCTAGCTACAAAGTGGCTGGCAGCATTCCCTGTTAGCGTTACAGCTGATATAATCCTACCCTGAGTATACTGTAGCTGCCAGCAGCTGCATTAGTGTGAAGCAGCTGACTGTGAAATGCTACAAGTAAACCCCAGGGATCTGAATGGTTCAGGTGTGCTGTGGATTAAATCATCTCAGACACTTTACGTGTTGCGACACCGACAGCAGTTGAAGGTTGCTGGTGTGGCGACTGTATAATTCAAGTTCTGACACGACGAGTGGAAGGGACGGCTGCACAGCAGTTATGTGGAGTTATATTTGTGCGACATGATGAGACATTTTATGAGCTTTTTCAAGTATGTACTTTATATTTTGTAAAGAAATTATGATCAGGAAATAAGAAACTAAAGAAAATAAATCCTGGTCGTCCAATAAATGTCTTGGCACGCAACAGTTAAATTATCTTATTTGCCTTTTCTCACTGTCCCTGACCTATAGACACTTATTGAAAGTGCTTGTCTTGCTCTGAACATCTCTGTTCAGAGCACTCTCAGGTTTGCCTGCCAGCTCACTCAACTTGTTCAGACGGGAGACAAAGTGAGTTTGAGAGGCAGCACAATTGCACCCAAAGTCAATGAAGATGAAAGTAAACGCAAATTCGAGGAAGCGTCGGCGTGAGTTGAAAATGTTTCAACTAGTGTAAAAAAGATTGTGCTCCTGTCCTGGAGCTTTGTGAATCTACTTTATGAACATACAGAGACGACAGGAAAAAGGAGAGAAACTGGAGGCAAATCAGCAGAGTTTCTGCTGAGTTCAGTCGGAAGCTGACCTTAACACAAACACACAGACACACTCCCACGCAGCAGCTAGCTTACGGCTAATGTCTGTGCAGTTGGTACATGGGCCGTTTGGGGTGAATTAACACAAATGATTGAGCGGTCAAATTCATGAGAAAAACACGAGCCGAAAATTTGCTCTCTTTCCTTACAGCGAGCCACAATCCAAGCTCATCAGAAAACTAAAGTCGGTCATTTCTTAATGTCTGTTAGTAGTATTAGCCGTTATTAGAGGAATAAGGAAGCAGGCACACATAATTAGTTCATAGTTTTGATTACAAGCAAATTTCTGTCTCATTGATTTTAGCGTGAAACCGCCACACCAAATTCCATTCTCAAATGTGACACTTTAAAGTTTCTTTAAATATTTATCAGTTAGGCTACTTTTCCAAATATTCATCAGTTACTCTTTGAATCCACATAAACCCCTTTTCACATCAGCATAAATTAAATCCACTGCACAGCACTTATTTAAAAAGAAAAAGTGCCACTTTTTCTCCACTTCTTTACTTCTTCCAAAACAAATGCCAGGAGTTGAGTTTTCATTACAACAAAATTGTGACTGGTGTTTACCGCATGCCAAATTAATCAGAGCACAAGAGGCCAAATTGCCTCTTAAGTTACCATATGACAAGTAATGTAGCATTTGAGTCCGGCACAGTGCTCACTGAACATAAAACGCACCACCGGGGCGACATTATCATCATTTCCAGCAAATTTCATGCAGAATAATGAGAGCACAACAGCATCACCGATATGTTTAACTGAATATCCTCTGGTCCAGCTACAAACACGAAAAAACAGAATCCATCAGCACATGAGCATGTCGTTCACTCGTGAGCCTGTTTGTAACCAGTACCGACAATGTTATCTGTGATTCACCTTCAACTGACTTGTCTGTTTAAATAACAGACACTCAACTGTCCTGCTGTTATTACCGACAAAAATATGTGGTCAAATGCATCTCAGACCAACATAGCAAGTGATGTGAGTGATCGGATCACAATTTGTCTTGGTGGTTATTTAGACGTGTAACACCAGGTCTAAACAGGCTGTTTCAAGCTGTCTATTTAGTATAGGTATGATATCATAAATTCATAGCAATCCCGACAGCTCGTTTAAAGACACAGTGTCTGAATACAGACTGTGTGTATTAGTAGATGGAACACTGTGATACTTTCACAGTATTTCTTCACCTACACCTGCTTTATTTCTAAACAGATATAGAAACCTGACTTTTCCCAATACGGGACCTTTAAAGGAACTTCATTAATAACTGCACTGCCTTGGCGGTGACAGTGGTGGCTCAGGAGGTAAAAGAAGGTTGTCTATCAAGTGTAAGGTCGGTGGTTTGATTCCTGGTCCTTGCAGTCTACCTGCTGAAGTGTCCTTGGGCAAGATACTGAACCCCAAATTGATTGCGTGGGAATATTTATCACATGAGCAGGTGGCACCTTGTGTGGTAGCCTTGGCCAACAGTGCGTGAATGGGTGTTTGTGCTGTAAAGCCCTTTGAGAAGTCAAACTGCGCTGTGTAGAGGAAGTTAATTTACCATCTGCGTAGCTGTCAACTAGCTTAGTTTGCCATTGCATGTATGGTGGAGGTTAGCTAACAACCTACCAATACAGCTGGGCTGCAAGCTATCAAGAACAGACTAACACACCAACAAATGGAATTTAATAACAAGGTACGTATCTAAACTGTATCAACTATAAACTGCTAACTCCACTAGCAACACAATCATTCTGAAATGACCTACTCCCATATTAAGATTGTCTGTAACTGTTGCACACTGTAACACGTTTTCCCCACAGACCACCATCACAAAACAGACATCTGTAAAGCTGTTGACTGGACTCGTGAAACTGCAAAGTCAAAACTTCTATAGACCAGACCAGCACATACGAAACATCAAGGCTGTGCCGTAATATATCTTGTGGGGGATTTGGATTATAATTTTGACCAGTTTGTATTCATGTAGTTCTTGTTAAACATGTGTACTAATTACTGTGTGTCCTGGCCTGAACATGAGCGTTTCAATACCTTAATAAATTAAGGTTGATCGCCATCATGTCCCTTCAGTCTGCCCCCATCCATGTGGATGGATGACCCAACACTGGATGTTGATTACGCAGACATCTGTACATATAAGGTATCAGCAGGTATCATTAGACTAAGTGTTAGCCAACTGTTCGATAGGCTGAGATTACATGCTGCGCTGTATGACTACTGCAGCAGCCTACCACTTTAGGTAATATTGGCAATCCATCAGGAGTAACTTTCACCAGCATCATTTTGCAACTGACCACAGTGACAGTGAATATGCCTGCATCTTATGGGTCCTAAATCTCAGTGTGAAAGCTGTGGTTCACCTGCTACACAGCAGCTCTTTATTATTTTCCTGTTACTCTGTAGCCCTTTTTAGATAGGAATTGTGCAAATTTGCAGGAAAGCCCAATCAGTCTTTTTTCAGCATTGGCAGTATAAAAACAAAATCGGGGAGTGCAGCAAAATGCCGCCTACCTACTTTTGTTTATGCGTCTTTTTCAGGGCAGAATGCACCTTTTTCAGGGCAATGGGGGGCGTGAGCAAGTAACAAAACGTGTAGCTCAGCGTGTGACATAAACAGTGACAAGAAAGGGAAGCCGTGGCTGGTCAGTCCTTGGGTGATTCTCTGGTAAGTCGGCCCACTCTTCACCATTCCCGTCATCTGACGGTTAATGGCCTCTTTGTTTGCGAGGGTAAGGAGGGCACACAATTCCTTGTCTCCCCAGTTGCTCATCTTTACAGTGTCTGTCAGGTTTGCGTTTCCCTCTTGCTACTAGCTTCTCGCTAATTCCTGCTATCAGCTGTTTCCTGTTTATCCACCGCCAGTGGGTCACACATGCAGCGTCATCAACAGCTCCTCCCACAAGTCTTCAACAGCCCCTCCCGTTGCAGAATGCCACCTCGGTCAGTTTAAACTAAAAGGGTTCCGCCAATATGTCTACCCTACGAGGCGGAAAATTGGGGACCTCGGATCATCTCGCCAATCCGGCTCTGTGTGTATAAACGCTTGCAGCTTGCCGGCAAAACGGCCCAACATTCGCGGAAAATCTGGTAGTATAAAACAAATAAAATAAAATATAAAACAGCTTGTTTTGGTGACGCCATGATGCCGGTCTGGTCTATGGGACAAGGGGCAACGTGTGGGTGGGGCCAGTAGGACACATTAAAGCAAAAAACAGTCCACATTATAAAGACATGAAATATTTTTAAAAAACAATCACGTGTAACACAAGGAAACTGTGCCAGCTGGAACTGAAATTTCAATTTCAGTTTTCAGCAGAGGTGTTACATCTCTGCACTGCTGAAAAGAGAGGAAACCAAATCACAGTGAAAAGCTGACTCATCAAGTCAAGTTAAGTTTAGTCATGCCAACATTGGCCAACTGATTTTTATAGGGTTTAAAGAGTAGAGTGAGGTAGGAATAAACTTCATTGTGGGGTGGGACATCATTCAAGGAGAGGAAGAAAGGAGAGGGAGAGCATGCTGCGATCGACGCTGAGGGGTCAGAATTAACAAAAAAAGAAAAGAAAAAGCTCAGCAATTTTATGATTCTGAGCAATTTAATTATAATGAATTTAGTTAAAATGTGAGACGGAGGAATGTGGATCATTTAAATTTCAAGGACTTTTTCAGCACTTTCTTAAAAAAGTACCTGATTTTTTCCCTCAAAATGTAAGCACTTCAAGAACCTTGTCTGAACCCTGTCTGTGGGCCCATAGATGTGGTAGACCTGGGTCATTTTACACCTGGAAATCAAACTCTTTTGACTTCCTGCACCATTGAGCACCTTTCACATGAACGTGCCTCCAACACTGTATCCAGCTCTCAGACAGCAAATTGAGAAGCAGCCAGAGGCCAGAAAAAGTTTTTAGCTTATGCACTAGGCAAGCAATTTCCATTCAAGTGGTGCCATCTTTGATACCAGTATCCAGTCCTCATTATACATCCATGGAGCATGCAGAGAAAACCGGGCAGCGCATTGAGAGTAGAGATGTTGAGAGTGAGACAGACACTGTGAGTCCAAGGGTTTGTGAGCACACAGAGCAGCAAAATGGAGAAGGGAAATGAGTCAAACTGAGTGAAAGAGGTTATCATTGTTCGCTTACGTGGATAATGGCGCACGACTAAGTGAAAAAATGTGGTGAGCACAGAATGGATTGTCTGCTCAAATCACATTATTCTTTCTCTGCAAAATATTTCATGTGGCTCTTGTTCTGAAGCACAGTAACAACTTCACACAATGAGAAACAGGTTATTCACAGGATGATTTCACAGCTTACCCGCCCAATGAGCACAGGCTCAGGCCCTCTGTACTCCTCGATCACAAAGAACTGGTTCCACAGCCAGCTCCTCCGGCGGCGAGAGCGAGGCTCGGACCGCCCGTCTTCAGTCTCCGTGACCCATTTAGAGTGGCCCCATGTTCTCTGGGGCAGAACGTCACCGACACCTGTCTCTAAATGGAGTTCAGGCTGGAGAGCGTGCTCCTTGTCTGAACTCGGCACTTGACTGAGAACATTAATTACACCTTCAGCTTCTCCATTAGTCAAATTGCTTCTTTTCTCGTGGTTCAGAGTGAGTTCAGGGATATGTTTGGGTAATTGGGATTTGGCAGCAGAATTGGAATGTTTAAGTACAGCTGTTTGCCTTGCTATATTGTCCTTAAAGTCCAAATCATTAGGTTTTCTGCCATTTAGTCTAAGAGCCACATTTGGCAGCGTTCTTACATCATCCTCTTCAGTCTGACGCTGGCTTCCCAATTCTTTGAAACTCACAGTTAAGTTATCAATGGACTCTGGCTGAGGTAAAACTTGTTGTCTTTTGCTTGATATCACCTGCAAATCCTGATCTTCCTCTGATAAGCCAACAGTCGCTGAAATGCTTCCCCCGTTCCAGACTAAAAGAAAAAGAAGCACTGTGTGTGCTGCCATTGCTAAGTTTAACTGTGTGTTTCAAAGAATAACCAATGAATGGATGATCAGAAGCACGTTTGCATGATGATCCATCTTGTGTTGTTACACCGTGCGTCTACTCCTGTCTTCAGGTTTCTTCTCCCCAGAGTGAGTCTTCTTCGCCTTCTCTTCTCACATTTCCCCGTGCAGTACACATGCTGCACAGGATCACCTGAGAGAAGAACACATAATTAGTGTGATCTTCATGGAATTCATTATAACGGGGGAAGCAAGTGTTTCAAGATATTGAAGTAGAAAGACAAAGAAAAGTTGATATTTTACTCATTATCTAGCAAATATTTTGAGAGAAATTTATAGATCATTTTTTCCTAGTGTTTGTTGAACAGCTCTGTGTGCTAATCTGAGCTCCCTGCCAGCTGCTGTAAAAATAGCTGTGAGTTTTGCACAGTAACTATGAACATTACGGTCTGATAAGAAATTACCTAAAAAGGAGAATTCCCTTTATACCAGATGCTGTTATTCATATTATTCTCATTGCTGTTGGGACTGCTCTTGTGTGCGAATGCTGTTATTGATCACTCAGGCATTCTCCGAGAGTTAAACGTGGTCTTAAAATTTTTCAATTAATTTGGAGCCCGAGGGGCCTGGCGATGAGGTGGAGCTCAGGTACTTTACTGTCCCTTGTCACACACAATTGCCCGGACATCAGGTGATTGATGTCATCCCTAAAGATGGTGTCCCCATGCCTCAATGCCCAGTAGTGAAAGAAGTTCCCCTTAAGAGATTAATTAGACTCATAAATAATTTAATCAATGACTTGTCCTCATTTCCCAAAAGTTTAATGATCTGCGTTTCGTTAGTATTTGAGTCAGATCCCGGCCATTGATCTTTGAAACTTGATGTACTGAAAAGTGTCAGCAGCTTAACAAGACGGTGGAGCAGCAGTTTTTCCATCCACGTTGTACCTGCATCCATCACTCTGCCTCACCATGCACTGCAATGAATGTAGATTTTCTGACATCTGTTTTCCACCTTTATGCACACATGGAGGCAAGCGTTATCACTGGGGTTGCAGAGGGTCAGAAAATTTACAGGGAGGGGGATATACATAAAAAAAGCAGTAACAGGTCTTTTGGCATGTTCCGGTTTAAAGTATTCCCAATTAACTGAACTGTAGAAAGTTCATTCCCATGTTCCCCAGCTCTGTAGCCCCTTAATAAATCACATAAGACTCTGTACATCCATCTGTCTAATGGTTTTACAGATCTATAAAAATATTTATACTATCTTGTTATTAACTAACACTGTCAGGCTATCTTGGCAGTTAAAACTGCAAAAGCACAAAGGGAAATGGACATTTTAAAAGCAGTTTGAATGGTATAAATCAGTTCAGCCACAATGGAGATGTCAAAGTCTAAAGTCAAGAAAACTGTCTTGCCTGCAAATCTGAGGGCGTAGATTTCAAGGAGTTTAACATCAGTCGGCTATAAGCTGTAGGTGGGCAAGTTCTGAACATTTGACCTAAGAAAAGAAACACTGCTAAGAACATAAAACCATTTCAAAGGTCTCCTTAATGCTTCATATTAAGGGTATATTGAGCTGAGGAACACAGGCACACTCCCATTGTAACCATGCACTGCCTTCAGAAGCGCACTCTTCTGTCACATGCACAGATAACTGGCCAGCATCCCATTAAATAAGAATCCAGTAAAATTATAACCATGCACAGAGCATTCTCCCATCACATGTGCAGCCCACACAAGGTTACTGCACTGTCTGAGCCAAAGTTTTGATTATATTACTGGAGTGAATATATATTGAATTTTTTATGATATTTCAGTCAACCAGTGGATGGTAGCCTAAAGCAAAATACACTTACAAATGCAAAACTTTTGATTTTGCTCCATTTTCTACAGATTCAAGTTAAGGATTTAAGACTTTTTAGGCACACACAAGACTTACTTTGTTAAAATGCGTGATAGTAAGCATTTCTCCTACACCACTTGGTGTGGCACATCAAGATGCTGATTAAACATCATTAGTACACAGGCGTGCATTGGCATGGTTACAGTTAGAGGCCATTCTCAAATTTGCAGTTTGAGCTTTAAAAAAAAAGGAAGACATTTATTAGGATTTCACATTACTAGCACTACAGAAATGCATTTTCTTGCTCCAAAGAATCAGTCAGTATATGGTGACTGATCAGGTTGTTGGTTGTGCTCATTGGAGTGTTAGACCACTCTTCTTAATTGAAGTTGCAGGACACTGGCAGGAAGTGGAACATGTTGTCGTACACTCTGATCCAGCACATCCTGAACATCCTCAACAGGTGACATGTCTGGTGAGTCTGCAGGTCATGCAGGAACTGGGATGTTTTCGGCTTCAAGGAACTGTGTGTAGGTCTTTACAACACGGGGTCATGAATTATCGTGCCGCAACATGAGATCACAGCAGCAGCGAATGGTGTCTCAGGATCTCTTCACATTATCTCTGTGCACTCAAATTCAATAAAATGCATCTGTGTTCACTGTTCGTGGCTGATGCCAGTCCATACTATAACCCCACCACCACCATCATAGGGCACTGTTCATAATATTGCCACTGGAAAACTTGACCAGCTGCCCACTCAACACCACAGCAACAAGACTCAAGTGCCACAGGTGCAAAGGTGAGCACTTAAGTCAGTCAGAACCATGAACTGCAGTCGGGTCAAGACCCTGCTGAGGACAATGAGCTTACAAACAAGCTTCTCCGAGACAGTTTCTGCAGAAACAGGAGCAACAGTTGGTTTGTGCACAAACCAATCATGGTCTCAGATGATGTTGCAGGCGAAAACACTGGATGCTGACATCCTGACCTGGTGTGGTTAACCATGGTGGACTGAGGTACTGCCAAATTCACAGAAACAACTCTGGAGATGACTCATGGTAAAAATGAAATAAACATTCAGTTAACAGGCGACTGCTCTGATGGATATCCCTGCAGTCAGCATGCAAATGGCACACTCCTTAAGAATTTATGACATCTGTGGCATTGTGTTGTGAAATGAAACTGTATATTTGAAAGTGGCCTTTTATTGCGATAGGCCACACCTGTCAGTTGGATGGATTATCATGGAAAAGGAGAGGTGCTCACTTACATGATTTAAACAAACTTGCAACTGACATTTGAGAGAACTATTGAGAGAATAAAATAAGTCTCAGATCTTGAAATTAAATCTGTTAAAAAAGGGAGCAAAAATGAAAGTGTTGCACTTAAAGTTTTGTTCAGAATAACTTAACACCTCATTATTTTTTGCTTGCTAACCATGTGGGATGTAGCTTGACTCACTGAGCATGCTAACTGAGGATTTTTAAAGGTCCAGTGTGAAGGATTTAGGAGGATATATTGGCAGAAATGGAGTATAATATTATAAGTATGTTTTCTTCAGTGTAGAATTTCCTAAAAATAAGGATCATAATGTTTATATTACCTTAGAATGAACTGTAGACATAGAGAACAGTTCCTCGTCTACTGAGGTCATCATGTTACACTGCTATTCTACAGTAGCCCAGAACAGACAAACAAACACTGGCTCTAGATAAGGACATTCGTGTTTTCGCTGTGGCCACCTTAGTTAGCAGCCCTTCCATTACGAGAGCGAAGGAAAAGCACAGACTGCACACATTCACAGGTGCTGGGCTAGTGGCCCATCTCCGACATACCAACTACTTGGAACTACTTTATTCAGTGTTTCTACCAGTTTTAATCACCTGGTCTGTTTGTTTTAGAGAGGAGGAGACCTCTGCGGATAATTTGGGTCACAGTAAAAACCTCCTGAACAATTAAAACACTAAAGGAATCCTAACAGAGAGAAGGTTCAGCTGGTTGCAATCAGCAATTGTCACTGCTAGATGGCACTAAATCTCCCCAAATCTTACACACTGCTCCTTAATTATCCTTTAGTCAACTTCCTAGCCAGCTAACATAACACACAACTCATTTCACACTGTATATATTTGGCAAATTATAGATTTACTTGGCAAATTAATGGATTATATCTGCTTGTGATTTAGCAAATTGTTTTTTTCTATCAGCTTATGACAGCCTGAGCAATTAACCCCTATATTCTCGTTATTCCCGTTATTTATCATTAATTTCCCTAAATTCCCACAGCAAGTTTTCACCTTCCCAGAATTCTGCCTTCCCTGTTTGGACAAACTGTCCCCAATAAACTGGTCATAAGTCTGGTGTGTGTCCCCTTAGGTAACCTAAGTCATACCCCCCACCCACACACAGAGTGCATGAGTCATAGGTACACAGGGATGTGGTCTTCAAACAAATTTAAATAAAGTTTTCATGAACACATCTCTCTTTTGAACAGATTGAAGAGTGAAATATTCAGGCTTTGAAAATCCTCAAAAGCTAAAGAGATTTTCCTGCACCGCCTGTGAAGCTATGCAAATGATCAATATTGTGGCTAAAGAACATAAATGACATTGTGCATGCTGATAAACCTCTGGCCTTGTCTGTGATCTGACTAAACAAATGTACACTGAAACATGTGCTTTGATTAATTTAGATGCAAATAAGCACCGAGTGGGCCTTAAGCACAAGCCTTTGATGGCACTGTATAATATGAACCATAACATTTTCTGATATACCCAAATTGATATGCTTCATATGAAAGGAAGGACACATGAAAATGAAACCAATGTTCCTTTACACTCCAGATACTGACCTATTTTCCAAAGTCATTAAGTAATTTCTTCTCTATTTACATCAGTTCTTCTTAAAAGGAAATTCATCCTTGAATTGTTTTCAGATTTTACACACCAATTATTAAACATACAGTATGTAATGCTTTATGTTCACCATCTGCATCTGTTTGCCGTCGTCTTAAATTGAGCAAAATACAAGAAGTGTCTCCTCCAAAACACTTTTGTCTTCCTCAGCTATTGTGCATTAGCATAGACTGAGCTCACAGCTTACATTTCTCTCTTCTAGCTTTGCTCCAAAACCACGTTGCCAGCAGAACATGTCATTCATTGTTGTTTGAAGTCTAAGAGTATGAGCGCGCATGAGATATGTGTGAAATGTAAGGCAGGGATAGAGGATGAAAGCGTGAGGACGATTTGCTGTTGCCGGCTCAGAATGGAATGATGAGTGGTGACATAGCTCTAAATTGCAAATCGCTGTTTCAGTCTCACTTCACTCTGCATCGAGTCGCTTCACTGCAACAAGGCTATTTCATTTTTATTAAAAATAGCCTGTGCATGTCAGGCCTTTTACATAGGGAAAAATGGGCGATGAAGGTAGAGAGGGGGTGGTGGTGGCGGTGGTGGTAGAAGTGCCCTGGGAGGGAGGGAGGGAGGGGGGACAGCCCAGCTGCCTTTAACGACCAAGACACGGACAGATTCTGTTCCATTTAAACATCACTGGCTTTCTCTCCTCCTGCCATTCGTCTTAATGCTTATAGACCTCTCATCCATTCTCGCTGCCTCACTCCTGCTCAGTGCACACATGGAAATCTCTTAAGTCTTTCCAAATCAGACCGTTGAGGAGAGGCACACTGTACTCAGCACATCAGTCACCTCATTATAGTCAAAGCTTGACACAGCTTAACCTTAAGTGATACCACGGCGTAAGAGCTGTGCTGAGCAAGTGTTTAGCCGTGTCCTTATTTGTGATATGAAAATGCTTCAGTGCATGGGCACAAATTTTGGGGGGATAGAGGGGACACATTCCTATTAATATTTAGAACATGTGCATCTTCCACTCCAACCAATGAAAACTGAAGTGTAGCAGAGGATTTTCTCTTTTCTTTGACAAAATAAAAGACATTTAGGGACTGTTCGTTATTTAAGAGAGGGAAGGGGGTGATGCAAAACAGGGGAGGCATTTCAAAAAAAAAAAAAAAGTAAGCTTTTTATTTAGCTTAGAAGAGGGAATTCAACTTTAAATGGTTGTATTTTGTAGGGCTGCCCCTTAGAAGTCAGAGATATCTGATATCTAGTCTTGACAAAAAACCCCTCTTTAGCACCGTTAGCTTGTTTACTATATTACATGACTATTGCGTCATGCTGAACATCCCACTAAAGGCCAAGACACACCCGCGGCGACATATGACGGCGGCGACATATGACGGCGGCGTCATTGACGCGAGTCAAGTGCCGCCTCCAACACACACAAAAAGCGTCGCGCTGCGGGGCGTTAACCGGATTTTTATTGCACACTCCAGTCCACTAGGCTGGGAAGTACAAAATAGCGCTTTTTCAAGGGCGGCGACGCTGGAAAAATAGGACAATAACGTAAAGTGCCGCCTTGCGGCACATCGACGCGCGTCAAGCCGCCGCCGGTGGGGGTTTGTAAATAGAAAATAATGGGGGCGGCTGTTTTGATGCGCGTCGTACACCGCCGGTGTGTTTTGGCCTTTGGACTTTACATCTGACTCAGCTGACATAATTCTAAGTCGTCTTAGTATTTTGTATTTTTTTTAAATACCCTCAGAACCCCAAAACCCACAAGTGGGTTTGAAAGGCATGTTTTCTTTTAAAAATTGCAAAAATAAAACAATTCATCATCAACAGAAACTGTGAGAACAGAAATTATTGTTCATTTTCCATAACTGCTTATTCTGTTGGGGGTCGCAGGGGGCTGGAGCCTATCCCTGCTGACATTGGGCAAGAGGCAGGGTACACCCAGGACAGGTCACCAGACTATCACAGGGCTGACACATAGAGACAGACAACCATTCACATTCACATTTGCACCTACGGACAATCTAGTCACCAATTAACCTAACCTGTGTGGGAGGCTCTGGAGAACCCAGAGAAAACCCACGCTGACACGGGAAGAACATGCAAACACTGCAAGCTCCCCCACCACAAGTTCGAAACAAGAACCCTGTTGCTGTGAGGTGACCATGCTAACCACTGCACCACAGTGCCACCCACAGAATATAGAGAAATAATTTTTCATTTTTCAAGTTCATGAACACATCAAGTGCGACAACCGCTTCCATCAAGAAAGATAATCAAATCTAAGCTTTAGACAGTGATATTTCATCACAATCACTTTAAAAAATGTGTTATGTAAAGTGTTAGTTTGCACTAACCAGATCCTGTAAATACATAAATAAATAAATAAATAAATTTAAACAATTCAGATTTTGTTTTCAACTTTTAGCTTTCAATCAACACAGTGGAAGTTTTAAAAATCTGATCCCAACCACCATGCCAGGTTACTGACATCCTGGCTGCTTTTGGAAAAAAGTCATTATATGCACGTTGCTAATTGGGGCTGTGATGTATGTGTGCTTATCAAATGTTGTTGGTTTGTGTGTGGCTGTAACACACCCATTTTCTGCTGAAGTGCACACAGCTCGTGTGATAATGCAATTTGCATTTTTGCTTAAGAAATTATCTGCTTGTTTTGGTGAGCACTCCCTCTGTGCTGCTCCATTGTTGCATTGGCTCCAATACCTACACTGGATGTGAATGAAAAAATATGAGTGTTAATGGTGGAGGGTGGGTCATGCATTTTCCCCCAGTCCCTCAGGGAGGCTTGAGGAAAAATATTTGTAGCTGCGAGGAGGGTCAAGATAAAAGAAAACAACTCAGCCACCCCGATAAGTAAAGAACAGTCCCTTACATTGCAGACGGATGCAGAAAAGGCTCAAATCGGTGCATAATAATGAACCAAATTCAGTGTTTGATGCTTGAAAATTTCTAATAGAGCCCCCCCATGCCCTTGGTTTCTGTGGTTAATGTGTATATCTGTGTGTGTGTGTGTGTGTGTGTGTGTGTGTGTGTGAGCAGTTGTAGATGATAATTTCCTCTTTGACATTACATTATGATGTAAACACAGAGGAACATTACATTTCTCAAAGCACATGATGCCTCGTTGCAGCCTCTCTTTGGTAACACAAACCCACGCACACGCACACACTCACACTCACATCTGGACTGCTTATTAGCATATCTAGTACAGATACACTATAAACAGCCCGGAGCGTGACCTTGTCTTGTTAGAGGAAGCCAGAGGAATGACCTACTTGATGCATGTTAATGTGATTTACACACTTGGGCTAACTATTATAATGAATGCGGCGTCCCAAAAATACTGCTGTCGGCAAACTGAGATCCAGCGACCACATCATATTAGCGTCCCCGCGTGAAGGTGCGTGCGGCAGGTGAGCACGGCACGCACTAAATTAAAGAAGAAGAAAAAACGAGCGCGCGCGCACAATCGCAAACGGTACCTCGCCAGAAAATGAGAGGGGAAGCACAGCGTTATCCGAAACCATCTGTCAAACCTTGGCGCTCGTTTGCGTTTCCAAACCTTTCCTCCGAGCCAGCCAGTGTATTATTGCACATGGCACATCTGCTCGCGGCACCAAAAGCTTTGTGCTTGTGTTTATTCAGGAACCAAACTGACAGTCAAACAGTTGGAAACCGCCTCACCTCACCGCTGCTCTCAGCTCCCCCCAAAATATGAGAAATTACAAGAGAGCCGAGGAGTGGAAACTTGTCACGTCTGTGTAGGCGTAAGTGGCTTCACTTCAATAAACTACTGAATCGTGAAGATAAAAAAGTGCTTTAGCAGAGTCGGAGCTTACCGTGTGTTTGCAGCGCTGCTCCGGTGCTTCTCTGGTTTAACGGAGCTGAAATGATCCAACGTGGGAAAGGATGCCGAGGTTCATCTGAGCTCAACGTGAGGTCTGTCCACTTAGCCCAGTCTCTGTTTCTGTGTCTCCCTCCCTCTCTCTCCCCGCTCTGAGTCTCTGCCTCTATCTCTCCTTCCCTCTCTCCATTAGTTTTGAACTATCTCACAGAGACCACAGTCACCCTAAAAGCCTGCTATTTTTGAGGATACACAGTGACCACAGTACCACACAGACACAGCCTGTACCCACACTGACACATTACCATTTCAGCTTGGTTCAGTTTGCTCTGCTAAATGTCCAGCGTGTAGGATTTAAGCAAAAAATATATCTACAGAAATGGGAAATAAAATAATAAATATGTTTTTAGTGTAAAATCACCTGAAAAAAAATCCAAACAAACAAAAAAAAAAACAATTGTGTTTTTGTTACCTTTGAATGAGCTGTTTTATCTACATAGGGAGAGGGTATTCGTCCATGGAGTCTGCTATGTTGCACCACCATGTCTCTATAGTAGCCTAGAATAGACAAATCAAACGTATCCGAATCTGACTACGCTACGATAGGTGGCGATATGGACCTTTTGCTGCTTGACCTATTGCATCACAGACCAAACAACTGGCAAACTAGTTAGCTAGCGGCAAACTGGTACCATGGTGGACAACTATAAAGTTTTTTTTAAGTTTTAAGTTTAAGTTTATTTCCTTTATTAATCCCCCTGAGGAGAAATTCAATGTTTTCACTCTTGCTTGTCAATTACACACAGGTCCGAAAGACACACACGTGCACAAACAGGACCTATACATGCACAAATTGGAGAGATGTCAGAGTGAGGGGGCTGCCCTTTGTGAGGCGCCCCGAGCGGTTGGGGGGTTCGGTGCCTTGCTCAAGGGCACCTCGGCAGTGCCCAAGAGGTGAACTGGCACCTCTCCGGCCACCAGCCTACGCTCCATATTTTGGTCCGGACAGGGACTCGAACAGGCGACCCTCCGGTTCCCAACCCAAGTCCCTATGGACTGCTGCTGCCGCCCCCGGCGGCTACTGCTCTGTAGATTTCATACGTGCTGTACACTCTTAAAGCTGACACAGCATGAACTGGATCTCTTCGTCCGTCCCAAAAGTTGCGGTTCTGGATGTAGATTTCAAAATGTTGTTTTCTGATTCTTCTTCTGTTATGCATTTAATGCTGTTCAACTTTGAGGTCAAGGCTGAGGACAGAAACTTTAGTGCATGCGCAGATAATTTAACTCCTAATCACATTATCTGGGTGTGTTAGTTCGACTTTGAGGAATTCGATTTCGTACGATTACAGTCGGACTAACATGTTAACATGTATTTTAAAAGTCAAGTTTTAGTCGGACTAACACAATGAATCGATTTTCTCTAATGTCATGTAACCGTACTGACTGGCTCTAGATGGAGCCATTCGCATCTTCTCATTGGCCACCACAGTTAGCACGTGCAGCAAGTGCGCCTGGCTTTGAAGCCAATTTTTGTGGTGGCCAAACAGTACTACTGCAGTTTCTCAGGTCTGATTTTTTTTTTTAACGTGAAACTGCTTTATTCAGTGTTTTTACCAGTTTAAATCACCAGGTCTGTTTGTTTATCTGCAGATAATTCAACTCCTGGTAACCCCCCCCCCCCCCCCCCCCCCCCCCCCCCCCCCCCCCCCCCGGAACTGAAAATGTGGAAACAAAAAATAAATCCTCTAAAATATGTCAGTGATTGCATGGAATGGAGCCGAATGTTTCTGGGAAACAGGCCAATCTGTGAGTGCTAGTCAATCAAACATAATCAGCTATCATTGCTAAGTTACTTGCAGTTAATTAGCCACACATTCAACAAGCAACCAACAATGCGCACAAGAATTTTAATGGCCTTGTTCACCTGTATCTGAGCAAATGAGTTGAATCGTGGAAGGTGGTGCTCATGACTGTTTATATCATGTTATATTTGTCAGATAGCTATGTGAAATCTAAAGTTTCAATCTTTCATGTTGTGCTGCATGTGTCATCTTTGATATTAAAACTGTAGTGTACCAAAGTAGTTTAACTGCATTTTAACTACTGTCAAAAATGCTCATCAAAATAAAATTTATTTCAAAAGCGCCCTGGGCACAGTTAGTCCACCCTGATGTTGGCTCCATGGCTACGACCTTACTTCAAAATCATAGCTTGAGTGTCTAATTACCACATTTATGATCATACTTTTCTGGACAACATGCAAATCGTTTAAACCCCTTTAATATTTTCTGGTTTAGCTGTAGCATTCCCTTGAAGCAATCCAGTGTTTTGTAATCTGCTTAAGTATAGCCAGTCTGCATAATCATCCTCAGTACGTTTGCATTTTCCCAGTTGTTCCACTCAGAAGCTGGACCAGAAAATTGGTACTCAAGGATGCATTAAAAGATTACATTTCACCAATAGTGTTCTCCCACTGGCTAGAAACATGTCTCAAATGTATGTCTGTAATTACCCCCTCCCCCCTTTTTCTTCCCACTCTGATAGGATATTTTCTCCAGTGAGTTGAATGGATCGTTCATGATGCGTTTTTCTTGGAAATTAATGATCAATTTAATATACAGTGCATTTCTGTAATTCAGCCTCCCATTAAGTCTTGGCTTTAAGCTGATTTTTATGAGTCATTTCGATTCTTTGTCAGCCTCAGACAATACAATCTAAATTTGTACTTACTAATCCAAATTTCAAGGATGAATGTTCAAAACAACATCATTTCATACTTGTCTAGATTTGGATGCCCAAGATCTAAATATTACACCCAATTTATGTGTTTGGAAAGTACAGATGAGATTTTAGGTAATATATTTTTACATTTTGACGCATCTTATCCCATACCTCCTGGAATAGAATATGTTTGTTTCTCACCCACTTGTTTTGGATATTTTTAATTTGGGAAAAGCAGGGAGGCTTTGAGCCTCTCAATCCTGTGAAAAGTGATCATTCAGTGCAGTCTTGCTTTTCACATCGATGTTTCTTGATCACTTCTGATTTCTGTCTCCTGACTGAAAAAACAAGATCGCCTTTAAACAAGTGGTGGTGAGACAAGTGTTGACTGATATGACTAGAAAGCAAACTTGCAACCCTAAGGTCACTCCTCAGATCCCTTGTACCCAGCTGGATACGGAGGTTTGTCAATGTCAAAACTACTGCGCAAGCACAAAACAAAGCCAAGCCGTAATCAATCTGCTAGTCATGATTTGAGAGCACGCAGGGACAGATTTACAATTGCAAAACATGCTCTGAGCTCCGACTGTGCGAGGGGGCTGTCAAACAATTTTTTGGCAAATTTCTAGCTGTTAGGGTCATATGCTTCCAACATACTTTTAGACGAATGAAAAAAACTAAGCAGATGTACTGATGTAGCTCAGAAGGCAGGGTCTGTGACATTTCTTGGTCAAATCCAGTGGAGTTTGTTCTGCTCTCGGCTGGAGTTTGCATGCGAGGAGAGGAAACTGCCAAATGGAACAAAAAGCTTTGAAGAGGGCAAGCAAAGAAAGCCTTAACGCTCACTGAGTCACAGCTCTTCCTGCAGCCCCAAAACTTTGATTACCATCACAGAACTTACTCTGCACTCCCAAGTCTGCTTAAATCCAGACTACTAAATCATTTCATTTTTTGTTTTCCACTCGCTCAATAATTCTGTCATTAATGAACTTCCAAAGACGAGAATTATGGATGAGGTTGGGGAGGCAGGGAGGCTTTCCCCTCTTACTCCCGCAGCTGCAGTCAATCAGACAGTAGTACTAGTGTAGGTCTGAGAAGACACTCAACTCTCTGATGCTACACTGGAGATGTGCTGGGCATCATCACGCAACCCTGCCTGTAATTTATTTAGTACAGTGGATAATACATAGATGCACACATTAGCCTTTAAAAGCTCAGTCATATATGGAGTTTTGCAAAAACATAAGTTCATTTAGAACGACAACCTTCGGCTCCATATCCTCATAAAATGGTTCTTATTAGGGTAACATTAAGATTTTACTGATACTACAACTCTTATTGATACTATTTTTTAACTACTGAATAATTTCTATAAAATATATTAATGAAAATGAATTCAGACCAGGATTAGCACTGAATATTTTAAATAAAACTAAATGTTGTTTCTACAGCAGCAACAGTAATGTTTACATCAGCAAAGTCACTCTATAAATAAAACTCCTGACATCACAATACTGAGTGAAGTTTAATTTTCATCAGTCAGTATTTGTTATTCCTCCTGTCCTCTGTCCTTCTCTCATGCTGATGTGATTCACAATCTGCAGACACCACTGATAGAGGGAGGAGGGGCTGTTTGTCTCAGCCAGCTGCTATGTTTAAAAGAATTTGTCCATTTTTAAGATAATTGGCAAAATAAGGTAGTTAAACACAGGCAGCTTTTAATTTTGCTTGTTTGTAACAATGTATTACGAGTTGAGTTATGCTTGTGTAAAACAAAGTCAGCAGTGGTAGATGAGAGACTGCAGACAGAGCAGACTGATATATCGCTTTCTACATGTTTATGCTTGTTGAACATGTGTATGGATAAAGTGCTGGCTTTTTACTTGTGAAGGTTTTATTGCACTTACATACAGTAACACGCGCAGTTGTCGTCAACAAGTAATCAAGGTATCATCACTTTCTGTCCACTCTTTGGCAGCCTCTTTGCTCTGCTGTTCACTGACTTTACCTCATGTTGCATTTGTTTGTGTGTGGGTGTATAAATGGCGGATCTCAGTCCCTACACTGAGAGCAGGTGAGAGAATGCAGCCAGGTAATAAATTCAATCAGAACGTTAAAAAGTACACATTAAAGATATAATAAAGTCGGAGCTTATCAATACTATGGTGTTGATAATTTAGCCTTGGGGCCCCTTTAATACCGATACCCATATGTAGTTGTTATGATATCCTACAAAAATGCACACTCAACAGTTAATATATCATTATAGTACAAATTAGCGCCACAAAAATAACATTACGTACTTACCATAAATCTACGCACTTAAAGTAAAGTAACAGAGGTTAGGTTTAGGCAAGTTAAGTTTCTGTGGTTAGGTTTAGGAAATGAAACATGGTGATAAAGTTCACTCAAAGTTTACAGTCACCTCGAGAAAGTCCTGGGGGAAAGTCCTGTGCTTTGTGACCTATCCACGACTCCAACCTGCCTCTTACAGAACTCTTCTCCACTCCCCTTGATGCGTTGCTCATGTGGTCACAGCCTTCCCAAATAAGTGAGTTATACTGGTTCTGATTATATGGGATATGTATGAATTTTGGTGCATTACTTTTTGCAGAAAAGCATACTAAAAGTGCATGAGAACAGCCTCAACTATTTGTAATGTCATAGCATAATTCATATGCTGTAAAGCTTCCTCCCATATGGAAACTTTCAACTCCATACTTCAGCTGTCTTCACTGAAGTTTAAAAAGGCAGGGCTGGACAGTGAGAACGAGGATTAACAGCTCTATACCTTTTGCCCTAATATCCCCTGCAGATTCGTTGTCACTACTAGTATGCTTAATTTACTACCACAGTGCTCAAACAGAATGAACAGGCAAGTTCAGCAAAATTGCATTTATTCATTAATTTATTTAAGTGTCAGAGAAACTTCAGACGAGTTCTGACAGCAGACACAAATCAGTTTTCAACCACCCGTTATTGCTACAGCTAAATTAGCCTCCTTATACAGACTCCAGACATTTAGATTTTTTGGCCGTTCACTGCGGTCCTTTTCTCTGCCTCTCTCTGTGATTCAAACACATGCAGGAGTAGGTTGTAATTATCTCACATAGTTGGAATGATTCATAATGTTTTAACGTCCAAATCAAAATGCCAAGCAGCAGTGTGCTGTTAGAATACATATCATCAGCACAAACAAAACATCAGCTGTTTATTAGAGGGAACGATATGCATGCCCAAATCACTTGAGAAATAGCCTGGAGGATGCAACTGCCTGTCCTGTTCATTAATTCAATATCTGCTGCAAAGATGCCATCATGTCTCTCCAAAATAGTCTCCGATGTTTGCCTTTCTTTTCTCATGCCATTTTTGTTTGTTTCATGTCTTTACTCAGACAAAGTCATATCCCGTCTCTCCCTTCTCTCTTGTCTTTCTTTTTCTCTGTAATATTCCTCTTTTAAATCCTCCCTGCTCCTGCGAGTCCATCCTTTGGAGGAGATGTGATAGATGTCTACACAGTTTCCTGAGTATGCGTCCCTGTGTGTGGCTCGGTACACAGCCTCTCTGGCTATTGATGTGGCCTCGTCCACTGTCAGTCCCCACTGAACCCCTTGGTCTAAAATCGAGTAGGCGTAGGGTGATCCCGAGCCCACAGAGAAGAGCGTTCCCTGCAGGCGAGTGCCATCACTGCACACATAGACCAGACTGGGTCCAGAGAGACTCACTTTCTTTGTTGCAGAAAACTGTTGACCAAGAATAGCTGAGGAAGAGCTCTGATTCTTTGTCTCAGCCAGAGACACCTTTTCCAGGCTGGCATCTATAGACTCTGCAGGATCAGTCATTTGACTCTTTGTTGCTTCTCTACAACTGCTGAGATCACATCCCTGGTCATGGCACACATCTACCTCTCCTCCGTCCCACCCACACAATGTGGCAGCCACACACAGCTCAGTTCCCTTAAACGGATGAAGCATGTGGGAGAGCAATTTGGCAGCTCCTCTTGTGGACAACCGTCGGCCGTGGCGGAGTTGATAGAGCCGTAGTTCGCGAGACAGAATCCGTTTCCAAAGGGCACAATCGGCTGACGTACCCGAAGTAGTACCCACTAAGTGACTGTGAATGGGCAGGATCTTCTGGGAGGCTGGGCACGCCACGAGCCCAGAGCAACTGGAACGAGTGTCTGCTGCAGCCAGCACGCCGCCCTGAAACATGAAAGCCAGGGTGGTGGTGCCGTGAGCCATGGGAAAAGGCAGCGGGACCGACTGAGAGGAGGCCAAAGGAAGGCTTGTGGGCCAGGAGAGCGATGGTGAGATTGAGTCTTGAGATGAGAAGGCGCCGGAGCTTTGGACGGTGCTAATTTGCCCAAACTGTATTGGACTTTCATCCAGGTATTCTGCAACAGGTATGTAAAAATTAAACAGACTTGTACTGCTGCTAAAGGGCAAACCAGTCACATAGTTACAGCCAGTCTTCTTTCCAAAAGGCACTGAAGAACATTCAGTGGTTATACTGTCCAGAAAGAAGTCCTGGAAATTGCACAGGTCCTGTAAAGCCATTGAGCAGGATAATTTCTCTTTCAAATAGCACTCTCAAATCAAGTTCAATAAAAAATATTTGTATCAGCTGTCCACAAAGGTTTGCATGTCATCAGGAGTTGTATACTGTCGGTTTTAGCAGCAGTCCGCCTTTATATAGAGCACAAGATCGCGTTCATTTATGTGTGGTCAGCTAAAACAACCCATCAGCAACAGTTACCAAATCCTCATTCACTTGACTTTGAAGCATCCACAGTCACTAGCCCATGGGTAATTAATTTTGGCTGCTATGTCAGGTTGTTTTTTTCAGATCAGATTTCTTCAAAGTCCTGTGTGGGCGTAGGCCAAAGAGGACGCAGGGTGATGGCAAGGCCTTGGCTCGAGCACATCAAATTAAGTTAGACTCTGAGCTTTGATGCAGCACTCCCATGAAAAGTTCCCAAATAAAATCAGGAAGGAAATGAATCAAACAACATTTGTGTTACACAGCAGAGTCAATCCTGTCAAGCCTCTTAGGTAGTGCAGCCCTTTAAAGGGAACATTCAAATTTCTGAACTGGAGACACCAGAATATCAGGTCATGCTGCATCAGTAAGGGTGTACACTCACACCTGACACCTACGTGCTTTCAACCAAGTGACTTCACCCAACGTGACTTGACACATTACTATTTCTGTTTGTCAAATAGATCAACCATGAACTCAAGGACTACGTGTTTGTTTTTATGTTTTCATTAATCTTAGATAAAAAAAAAAAAACCTCAAAATGAAGGTTTTAACCTCCATCTTTTGTGGATATTTCTTCACTGCTGCTATTATAATGGTAAGGAACTCTTAAACTTTACTGCTATCACAGTGATAATCCTGATATGAGCTGTTTGATGTGAAACAGTGGCATGGCCAGACATTTTTCATAGGGGTGGCCAGATGGGGTAACTGATAATCTTGCACCAAACCAAAAGCCATAACTAAGTTGCAGAAATGCTATAATGCTGCTGAGGTACACAGGCCAGTTGGAAACTGTGTTGATATAAGAGTTAAGGAATCATATACTGATATTCTTTGTTATTTTACAGTTAATATTACCAATTATCTGATGTGATGGTGCAGATAACATTTTGAGTTCCACAACAATCCTGTTTTAATGTATTTTGTGATTTATTGTTTTTCAAATATACTGTCTTTTTCTGTAAAAAGAAAAATATACAGCTTTAATTTGAAGGAGTACATTGATTGTACAAAACATTTACTGGGAACAAGCCCTCCCAAGTTTTTGGAGGACTTGTGGGTACCAATAGAACCCATTTTCTTGCACATATCTTGAAGTGAGAGTTTAAGGTACCCCTTTGAAAATGGCCATGCCAGTTGTTCACTCACAGAAATGTTACCTTTACCTTTAACCACTCTCTTACACCCCTTTTCCACCAAAATTAGAGTGTGTATGTGTTTTTTTTAAACACAGCAAAACCCAATAAAATAGGCTATAGACTTCTTTGCCATTGCTAGTAGACCACAGCAGTGTACACGGCTCTGCAGCAGACAAGCATAACTGTTTTTATTTCTTTTCTGCTGTGTCACATTTGACAACAGGTTAGTACACAGTTGGACACAGCATGGAAGCCAGTGAAAATGTTATTGTGGTTATTCTTTATCTCTTACTTATTCATTCTCACTTCTAAACTTGGTGAAGACTAACTTGGAACAATGTCTAAATGCTGCCTGGGTGCAGATGGATGGCATTTTGGTGTGGCATGTCATTGCATCTCACTGGTAAAGTGGGCTAAAATGAGCGTGTCCACCCAGGTGTTGTATTTCCATCACTGCCAATTTAAGCCGGAGCTGATAAATACCTATGACCCAGGTGTGAATGCCTATTGTAACCTTTCCCATTACATTAAAAAGCCAGATGTTTGCAGGTGTTAATGGTTTTTCTGTGCTGTGGGAAAGGAGCTATAGTGTTGTTTTGCAGCTGTCAGCAGGCGGCAATTTTCAGGAAAAACAAGCTAAAAAAAACACTTTATCCTGCCTGCTCAGCACCAAACAGCAGACAGACACAGTCAGCAATAGGGTTAGACCATATATTGATATTATATCCACATCATATGAGACTAGGTATTGTCTTAGATTTTGGGTATCGTAGTATTTTAAGTGTTGCCTTTTATGGTTTTAAAAGCTGCATTACAGTAAAGTGATGCCATTTTCTGAACTTTGCAAACTGCTCTAGTTGTTCTGTTATTTGCTTTTACCCACTTAGTCATTATTACTACATCACTGATAGTTATTTATCCTAAACCTTACTGTGTAAATATAATGTTAAAGAACCAACAGTCAACCCTACAATATTGTTGCAATATTGACATCAAAGTATTTAGTCAAAAATATTGTGACATGTGATTCTCCCCATAACACCCAGCCTTAGTTAAGACACTAACTGGTGAACATGGTTGAACATTGAGCTGCTTAAGAACCAGATATATCCCTTCACCTTAAACAGAGCTAACAGACTTGCATTTGCCAGATGGCCACAAACACAGCTCCAAATTAATGGTGATGTTGCCTCCGCTCTGCTGGATGTGTAAATAAGAAACTCTTTGCTAACAAGTTCACCAGATGAGTTTAAAAGGTGGTGATGAGCTCTGTTCAGGACTGTCTCATTCACTGTATGAGAGAACGCGGCGAAGTGATGACATGTCAGTGTTTTGTTCACAGCTTGTTTCCACTGCCTCGAGTGGCCAAAGGGAGCGTGTTCTAAAAAAATATGTCCTCTGGCAACTTGTTACCTGCAATTTGTCTGAGTGGAAAAAGACTGCATGATAGCCTGTTTATATGTACATCACCTAATTGTATTTACTCATCTTTCACTTCACCCAGGGACACTGTGTGTTACCAGCCATTTCAACCTCCTCATCCCAGACTGGTGAGAGCCTGCCTGACAATTTCATAGGGTTTGACTCAGCCCCTGACAAAGTGGCAGACGGCTCAGTGGTCCGTGTGCGGTATCGTTGCTCCAAGCCATGTCGGCTCGCACTGGAGGTGGTGGTGTCCACATTAAGGAAGACAGATTTAGTGGTCTTCAGGAGGAAATGGATCAGCAGCACAACCCGAGTCTACAGGATCCACCAGGTGCTGCTCAGATTGCCTCCATCCATTTTATATCAACATGACTTTTTCAACAGGCACATTTTGGACGCCCAGAATGTGACAGTTCGTGCTTGGGTAGACCATCTTAATTATGGCAGGGAACCCAGGACATACCAGGGCTCCATGTTGAGGATTTATAAAACACTGCAGACAGAGCCACTCTCAGAGCGTCCAACTAAACCTCCCACTGAGTGCCCTTCATGGTCAGCTCATCTGAGGTGGCAGATGACCAGAAACAGAACTCATCATTGTCCACATGAGTCAGGTCAGATCCTCTATCTTTATTAACTTTTAATAATAACATGAAAATACTGTTTCAGTATGTAATCTTTTGCTGTTTTACTTGTGCATAGACGTAATTGATATGCTGAAGTTCCCCCTGGCAAGTCCTGGTGAGCACTTTGGAGTGGTCCGCAGGTTCCAGCCTTTTAGGAACAGAGCCCTGGAGAGCGCCCGTCTTCATGCTGTGACACAGCCCAGGTTGTACTTAAAATTCACCCAATAACTTCTCATTTAGTACAGTTTAGTTGAAGTTTATTCTGTATGAAGTTCAACTGCACAGCAGGAATATAATCTCCAGCAGGGTCTCCAAATGTTGCATTAAATAGCTCACAAAGCTAAAACACATATCATGAGCAAAACTAGAAAAGTGCACTCAGTAGAGTTCAGATCTCCTCCAAATGGCCACGTTCCAGCTGCCCGAGCCGATTGCGGTCACTCTTGTAATTCAAGCTGACACATTTCAGAAGATAAAATAAAATGATGACAGTAAATGCATTTTTAATAAGTAAAACACAGCCACAAACGGACATAACAAAAACAACAGAATTGTCCCTCCCAGTTCCCTAAAAGTCAAAATGGCTGAGAGGATAACGAAAATGGTGATTTATTTATCTCCTATTATGCTTAACTTTAGTGGATCATAACATCAGGTATGGAATTAATCTTCGGATGCTCCAATTCAAAATAAGACTAAAACTTTGTGTGGATGTCAGTTTTCGAGCCATGACGAAAACAAAAATGTGTCCTGCAACAGACGGTATGGCTTGTTGTTTTTAGCTGAGAAGATTTCAGTAAAACCTGCAGCCCCTACTGGCCGGTTAAGAGGAGTGAAGAGGCTGGAGCCAAGCTCAGCTGAAATTGGGTGAAAAGGGGGGTACACCTTGTAAAGGTGTCCAGACTGACACAAGTCTGACACATAGAGGCAGACACACCTACAGGCAATCTAAAGTCAGTCCTTGTGGGAGGACCCCAGAGTACCTGGAGAAAACCCACGCTGACACAGGGGAACATTCAGCAGTCAGCGACGATGTAAATCAGTCAATAAAACAGGTTTTTCTCCCATGGGCCTTTTTCATTACAGACATTTTGTCTTGTCATAGGAAATGCACAGGTGAAATTGCTAACATCAACAACGGCTTGCTTCCATTAAGTTTCCCAGTAAGGCCTAATTTATGTTCAATGTCAGATACACATACAGAGACAGACGGAGCCTTCTGTCCATACTCTGCATTTCGTCTGTATTTGTGCTCGTTTTCTGAGAGCTTACGGATACAGATGAAACTGAGCAGTGCCACAGGAAATTGTGGGGGCACTGTAGCATAGTTCAAGTGAGATTTGACGGTAGAGGACAACAAAAAAATTTAAATAATAATGGAACAAATCGCTAATATGGTGAAAAGAATTCTCCGTCCGCATGTCATGATTTATTTAATGCCCCCACTGGCCACTGCCTTCTACAATGCTGCCTCTGTAAAAATGTACTTTATTACAACCTCCTGCACCGTCGCCTCGTTTGTGTGAAACTTTTGACTCTGCCCTTAAGTGCCATCTATCTGCTGTATTCATGCCATCAGAGAGGGCACATGGAAGTATGAGGGCAGTGACATTCACAACATCTGAAACGGACGCATCTGTTTTTGTACGTTAAGGGAGTATAAATGAGCCTTAAGCTGTTCCAGTAAGCCAGCACGGACAATACCAGGGCCTCCTCTAAGTGGACTGCAGCTGTCATTAATGTTATTGAATACACCTGTGCTTTTCCTACTGTGACATGTCAAAATGTCTGTTGTGAGAAAGGTCTGTTGTGATTCAACGCAACCATGAGAGGTCCTTGAGCATACAATCATATATGTGCACACAAAATATTAGGGCTGGCGCCGAATTTTCCTAGTTGACCAATAGTCGTCATTTAGGGCCATTAGTCGACTAGTTGCCTGCATGTTTATGATATTAATTTAATTATTGAATTATATATTTTGGTGGTTTGAGTTGAAGGTGTGAGAAAGAATACTATCAGTAACATTGTTAACACTGTGCTACATTACAGAGAAATACAAAACTGTACTAATGAACCAATGAAGATGAGTTTACATATCACCTTGGGTTCGTCTTTCACCTTCTCAAAATGATCCCACACTTTGGATTTCCTGCCCAACATGTTATTAACTAGCCTGTGGAATAACCGCAGGTACCAGCCCTGGAAATTAACGTGACACCTGTGTGACTGCTGAGCATGGACACTTCCTGTGTCTGTCCTTTCAAATTAAATTCCCACATGGTCCAGTCATATAGGTTTTGATTTATTTTGACAAGGTGCAGCTCCTCATAGAGTTTCACGTTTTTTGTTGTTGTTGTTGCCTTTTCTGCGACTAAGCGACCAATTAAATCTTGCCGACTAATGACCTTTCTGGTCAACTAACATTTGGTTGACTATTAGGGGGCAGCCCTACAAAATATTAGGCTGATTGGTCCAGTAGTTTGTGAGATTTGCTGCAGACATACAGATAAACACACTCACACACACACACACACAACCAAACGCATGATTCCCTTTAGGCTTTATACCTGCCTGAGATAATAAGCAGTCAACGCCATGGCTGAGCATTTCCACCTTGGAACTGCAGTCTCAAAAACACAGCTTCTGTCAGCCTGGGTATTACCCAGGAACCAATCCTGTCAACCTCCAAAACAAGGGGTCCGAGGGAAGGAGAAGCCAGGTGTTGCTACATATTGGTATTAAGTTTTATTTTCACATCTATTTATCAGAGCTGGCGATCGGGGACAAGGTTTATCTAACATTAGCAACCCATTATTAGCTGTTTGATAATGTAGTCAGGCCAAAGGCTCATGTTATCTATTACTGTTACATTTTTAACGTTGTAGAGAGCGATGAGCAGAGTCGAAGGTGAGCAGTTGTGCTCGAGCTGCAGGCGAGCGGATGGTGGAAAATGGAGATAGAGGTGGGGACCAATCTGCATATTCATAGATCCACGCATACAAAATGCAGCGAAGGTGTAGAGTTATATCTAAAGCATTTTAAGGCATAAAGGGTTTTTTTTTTCCATGGGAAAAAACTTTTACATATGTTACTCTGAAGAACAGAGATGAATCTGCAGGGTTTTAATCAGTGACAGAGGGGCAGTTTTAAGAATATATTTATCTATATCTTTAGATGTTAAATACTATACGTGTACAATAAAACCAAATAAACCAGCACATATGGCCTCAGATGTACAGTATAATGTCAGTAGTTTGTGTTTATCAGCAGATTGACAGGCCACAGGTCACTGATTGTTTCCTTTTCAGTGCTGTCAGCTGTTACAACACACTCTACTTTTAGTTTTACTTCACTGTCATTACAAATGACTTAACAAGCTTCATGAAGCCTCTTCAGCAGAGCATATGAGCTTTTTATTTACGGTCGATGAAAGACAGCGAGGTCAGTCATTTCTAACAGAAAGCGAGGCGTTTTAAACTCAACCTTGCACTTCAGTAGCCGAAGAAATGATTTGTCAAATCATGTGTTGCTTGGTTTTCAGCGTCACCTTATCTGTGTGGATCTACCTGCTGAAATGGTGTCACGAGAAGCTCTGTGGGATCATCCATCATGTCGATAGGAAAAATACGTACGACTCGGTTCTGATGCAGCTTACAGACACAGGTGGGTCACAGCAGCTCATGGGTACACCTGATACCAGTTTAGGGGATTAGACTGTGGTATCATGAGATGATTGTGAGTGATGGTGTGTGTTTTGTGAGACTGTGGAACAGACTGTGTTATGTATTAATAAAGAGCTCTGGATCTCCTGTGGTGAAATATATGACTGTCATATATGCCTGTCATATCTCCTGTGTAGGGGACGTCATAATTCAGGCACGTGCGACAACAGGAAAAGATGAAGCTTTCCGAGTCAGTGCGGCATTGCCCCAGTGGAAATGGATTAGATTAGACTGCTACATACAGGACTCAAAGGTATAAAACCTCAGTGTGTGTCTCCTCTGGGTGGTGGGATAAGAAATAGAAATTAAAGTACAGCTCGGGGCAACATCTTATAGCCTTCCTTTCTCTTCTGTTTGGTTTGGTGCCCTTGCTCTGCGGTGTTTGATTTCCTTTTGGAACAGCTGTAAGATCCTGAGAGATGGTTCCTTTCCAGCTGGGAAACTCCAGGCGATTGCAGTGTGTACTGCAATTTGGAGTCGTTCACAGCTGAGTAGGTTATTTTTTCTGTTTCTGTGTGTTGTGAGCTCATGTATTATTGTGTCTGACTTTCAGGTGCTGCTGGATGTAACATGGGATGAACACACTCACAGACATCGATATAAGTAAGACCAGTTATTGATTTAAAGATGCTTAATGTCAGTTTGATTTAATCGTTGTGAAATAAACAACTCTTGCACTTATAAAGCACCTGTTTGTCCAGTTACTGCAGTAGAACAGGACTAGCTCAAACCTTGGTATTTCACTCGGATGGGTGTGGTTTTGCAGGATGTAGAAGTGCATGCTTCGGTGAGCTCTGTAATCATCTCAGCCCCGTGCTCTGAGTGCATGTTAATATTTATTTGCATAGATGTAGATTTTGGGGGGACGCAGGGGACTTGTCCAAGGCTTCATGTCTGACACATCTAGGGAACCAATCCTGTCAACTTGAGCAATGAAGGGTATAGGAGGAGAAGCCAGGCATGGGCGTAGATTGTTTTGTGGGTGGGGAGAGAGGGGAGAGAGGGGACACAGGGGACACGTCTCCCTCAATATTTAGAGTGTGTGCATTTGTCCCCCTCCAAAAGACTTTTATTTTGGAGACATTAAAGACATCTACTCCATAAATTAATGCAGAAAAGGCAAACAAATTTGGTGCATTAAATTCACCACCATGCAGGAAATTCAGTATTAACTTAAAATTAAGTTGGACTGAGTGGTAAAGTTGGGCTAGTTTTATTTCTAAAGCTTGTAAAATCAGGCAAACTAGACTGAATAATACACACTTCAAGTATGAAGGCATATGGAGTAAACTATTCCTGTTTTCCTGTAATTTGTATATTTGGTCTCACACCTGTATACATGAAAACTGAAAGCCTGTTTGGGCATCTATTGGTGTGAGATACTACATTGATATAAATATAAAGACCCCCATCTGAGTAGATTTTTGTTATTCAAGTAAACATTTTAGCACTATTTCGTTGTATATATTTTCCAGTATAAAGTTGTAACGGTTGACTGTGGAGATTTTTTTCAGTAGTCAGGTAAAAGTTAGTTTTGCTCGCTTATCCACAATGTGACAATAACACACAATGTGTGCCAATGTGCATCCAACACCCAATGCTCTGTTATCCCTTCTCAACCACAGGCAGCTCTTATGCACTATTTGTATGTTTTCCTAAGACAAGTTACACACCCAAATTTGAACATATCCCACGTAATCATGAGCCAGTAAATCGTGCATAACCCACATATTTTGGAAGGCTGTGATCACAGGACCAAGCGATTGAGTCATTTTAAGGTATGTTGTCCTAAACCTAACCTCTGTACGTTCATTTATAGGGTGCCAATTTGTGGGCTATCACACGAACCGCTGTATGAGGACACATTGTTGACCAACATGGAACGGGTTGCGATTCTGTTCTCGCTCCTAATTTTGCACCATTTGGAGCATTTCGACCAAAAATAAATCGGTCTGGAACCGGCAAAAGTTGGCTCCCAGCTGGAACCCAAATATAGCAGGTTTTTCTTAACTTGAAGTGCAAATGGTATTAACATAGGTGGGCATACTGTTTACCTTCATTGTGCATTGTGCAACGCCCTTCGTTGATGATGGATCCTTAATTACAATGGTTCCACTCAAAACTGGTGAAAACACGGGCTGGTTTGCTAAACAGCACTAAATTTCCAAGAACCCTGAACAGAACCGATTCAAGAGCCACAGCTAATTTGGTGCAAAAGGGGTATAAGTGACGCAGGACCATAAACTGTATACGTAAAAAGTTGGACAACATGACAGAACATGAAGCCAAAACATCTTAATCAACCCCTGGTTGCTGGTTGCAGTATAGGTCATAAATCTCACTCCCTCTGTGTTAGCAGAAGGGACATGGGCAAAACTAAAAAACCAAAGTACACGTCACATAAATTTTCCCAAAGATTGTTTCAGTCATTTTAGATAGTTCTTATCACCCTGGCCTACGTTCAGGTGTTGAATGTTTCTGATAATATTTACAGCTGTGTGTAGCAATTGATATGCTTGCAATCAATGGTGCTGCTCAGTAGCAGACATGGCCACAGCAAAGATGTGTAAAGCTAACAGTGAGGGCCGGCACTTTCAGGAGCAGTGGAAAGTTGAACACTTTCAAAGAAGGATGTTGCATTTGTCTTATTTGCACAGGATTTTTTTTTGAAAGGCAGCTGGCCCTGGGTATTTTCACATTATCTGTCAGGCCCCCATTCAAAAAAGTTCGGACACCCCTGGATTATATTATTCTCGTAGGCCACCCATGGGGTTGCAGTGATATACTTATTTCAAGGTATACCGTGATATAAAAGTTGAAGGTTATCATACCGTGTACATTTGCTTATCTACGATATTGGGGAAAAAAAAAAAAAAAAGCAACTGGACCAAGATTCTCCTCTTAAGTTCAGTTAAATTAAAATTCCATTAAATTCTGTGATACCGTGAAACTGCAAACTTTTCTGAGACCATGATCATTCTGTGAAATTCTTACACTGCTGCAACCCTAGCTACCAAAAGCAGTAATTTATAATAAAAAAATTGATTTGTGGCTTCCATGTGACGACACAATATTGCCACACACAAAAAAAAACAAAAACAAAAAAAAAAGTCCCCCACCCCTTGAACTGCAGACTCTGGCTGCAAATGACGTCAGCAGTACGAGATGGCAGCGGCCTTATCCAGGATATTTTGGCTTCATTTCTGTACAGTTGGAGTAAGTGGACACGCGTTGTCCATCTTTACATACAGTCTATGCCCAGGCAGACGTTGCGCTAGACTTTTTCGTCGCCGGTCATTTTGACCGACAGGGCCATAAAAATCCGGTCATAATCTATTTTTACCAGTCATTTTAATTTTAATTTTTCAATGATAATAAAGATAATCAAACACATTTAGTTTTCATTCATTCGTTTTTAATAAATCCAACAAGCAAGTTATAAAATGTGCATTAATAAGGACATGAACGAAAAGATGAACAGACATCCACACACTCGTGCCAAATTCTAAACACGGTATTTTCTCCTCACGTTCCTCAGTGCGTGCTGTTGTTATTTTATTTTGAAAATTGGCCGGATTCTCTCGTCTTTTCTGTGTCCGACTTCCTGTTTGGTATGATCTGCTCGATCCAGCTTGACAGAAGCTCTCGTGGCTCCTGTGAAAAATAGACCAGACACCAAACTGAAGCTCTGCCTCCGCAGGCGCTCCACTCTGGAGCTGACTGAAAACTGCCTCCGCTGCTGAGCGCCGTGCTTCTGTTCCGTGTCCGGTGTGTCCAGGGCGTTATGTCAACAACGCTACATGAAGCATATGAATGACTTTTTCTCTGCAGTGTGAAAACGGCAGTCACTTAAACCACTGACTGTGCACTCCGCCGCCAAGTGGACAGGGGTAGTAATTGCAACCGGTCAAAATGACCGACGGCCTTCAGATTTTCCGGTCATTGTTGTAAAAAAACGGTCAATGACCGAGAATATCCTGTTAACGCGACCCCTGTGCCCAGGACTTAAGGGAAATAGCAGGTGTTTAGGGAGTCCCACAATAGAACAGGGATGACTGCTATGTGAATAACGATCATGACAACTGGTTTGAGTGGTGTTCAATATCTTACAGATTTCAAAACAGTATCCATTATAATGACACTGATGGATACTTTGTGATCGGTGGAAGCAAGTACATGCCAGGCATCCGTGGGTATTTTGGACCTGTCAAATACTACCGTTTTGGAACAACGAAGGTAAAGTGCCCATTTCCCAATCATTAAGTCACTGATGTGATGTTTAATAATTACTGTGATAAAATATGCTGTTATCCATGTCACAGGTAAAAAATCAACTTCACCCCGCGTCAACACTGCAGGCGCTGGATAAGACTCATCAGGACTGTCAGGAAATTAAAGCGCTCACAAGAGCCTTTCTCCAAGATGTAACTAAGAGTCACCTCCTTTCACCATTCAACACAGGTGAAATATTATGTTGACAAATCTTTTAAAGCAGCCATTCTACAGGGATCATCCTTATATAGATCTCATATACAGGGTGTCAATACAACAACTGCACACCTATTAAATGTGGGAAGACTTCTGTGGACAGGTTGCTGTATATTTTTTTTTCCAGGTGTCTGTACACCTCACTTCATAAGACTGTGGGGTCAGTCCGAAGAGGAAATCTGCACACAAACATGGATCTGGGAAAAACAACCTAGATACAGCACTCTTTTTCAGTTCTTGCGGACAAAAGAGGAGGAAATCAGAACAGGTGTCATAGATCATTTGACCACAAAAGTCATATGTAACTCATTATTCACAATACTGACAATTTTCTGTATCATTTATTGTAGGATCTCTGGCCATGAAGGACCTCAGGAATGCTTTGTTTAAGCAGGCAGTTGATACCATGCTCTCTGTAGATCAGACACAACAGAAAATCACATTCAAATCAACAGCACTACTCCCTGTGGCCTCCTGCTTTGGAAATCACAAAGCGTCTCTCTTGTTGGCTGCTATCCACCTCTCTGGCTTGGGGCACTCAGTCGATCAACAACAGGTAGAGTCGCTGCCTTCCTTGTGCCTTAATTGCTACTTTATCACATGTAACATCACTTCGGTAATGATGACTGATAATATTGACTCCTGTGTTCTTCAGGGCCATGTCTATAGTTTGATTGGTGCAGTGGGCGATAACCGTTTCGCCCTGATGCATGCTGGGTACAAGCACACACAAGGAATTGATGGGTTTCCAAAGGACTTGGACATGGCTTACAGCTATTACTCCAACGCTGGGGTACAGACCAACACTGATAGTTACAGAATACATGAAAATGAGGTAAACATCTGACATTAATATTATATAATGCTAGCATTGCTGGCAATATGGGTCTGTCGGACAGTCCTCTACTTTGGTCTGGACTGAAATGTCTCAACAACTATCTTGGTGGCAAATGTAGCTGGACCGTTCATTAGGAGCACCAGTGGAATATATATACACTGTTCAGTTATTTATAGCAGCACACTGTCAGAGCACAGGGCGTTCTCTGGGCACAGATGGAGCAGCAGAACAGCAGGCATATTGAAAATGAAACTTTACTTTTCATTCTGCTTGGTCTAAAAGTTTGCATTCACTCACAGTAGCCACTCCTCTCATCCATTCATCTGATCTGATCAATCAGATCAATTATCCACCTCGGAAGTCACTGCTGCTGAGGGGGAAAAAAAAGAACTCATGGAGTGCTCCGCCTGCACTGCATTCACGACAGATAAAAACCTCCAAATTTAGAGATGGAGCACAGGATTACACAAAGGGACACACAGGCAGTTAAAGGGGTGCTGTATAAGTATACATTAAGTCAAAGTAAGTACAAGAGAACAAAATGAGAAAAATAAGTAAACGAGAAACCGTCTTTTAAAGATTATACAATACGCAACTTACAACGAATGTGCCCCTTCCCCTCTTCCTACCCCTCAACTTCCAGCTTTACACAGACGACAACCATTTAAAATTAATTTTGATCCTAACAATACATTGAAAAAATTAAGGGATTGCATCTTACACGTTTGTGGCGCTATCGCGTTGACAATATCTGTCCACAGACAGACATATAAACACCTTGCAAAATACTTGCAAAATACCTGTTAATAAAGGTGTCACCAGGACCACATTTTACAATGATGACACACACAGACTCACAGGGTGAAAACATCACCAGCCACTGTGACATTGTGGTGACTGATAAACATACAAATCAATACATAACAGGGGTCATCGATTATGAAAATATGTCGATTTGTAAAACATGCGTCGGTGCGTCACAATTAAGTAGGCTACACCTGATAAAAGCATGGATTCCTCCAGATAACAGGCTGCAGCTGAAAACTTCGCCTACAAAGTGAAAATGTCGTCTCACAGGTGTGCAACTGCAGCACACAGACACCCAAAGTAAAGGCATCCCAGAGCGCTATGTCAAGACAAAAGCAGAAAGCACTGTCCTGTTTACTTTTTGTCCCGACCCAAGCCTGACATTTCAGGATTATCAACACACGGAACATGAATCTGTTAGTAGAAGTCATTAGACTTTATGCACTGCTGCTAATGATACCGCATGTATCATCTAACATTGTTATTAGGCTGTTATATTTTCTGCTTACTTTAACGAGCATGCACGAGTGAGATAACGGCTTAAACTAACATTACAGACTGTTGTTACAGTCTGTGATTTCTGTTACGGTCTGTAAATAGTTTCATTTATTTCCCACGCCGATGCAAAAATACATTTGCCAGTGATGAAATAAATACATGTCATGAGCATTTTAAGTTTTAAGTCAAGTACTTAAGAAAAAATACTGATTCTCCCCTTCAAGGAAAGGACTGCTGTGATCTACGGTGATTGAATTAATGTATGTGTTACAGCAATTTATGGTCCAGTACTTTCTGATCAGGTGTCTGACACATAGGTCCAATTATTATTATTACTACTACTATTATTAATAGTCATAATATCATCATTACACAACAGTGTTAGTGTGATACAAGTTTTTCTTGTTATTTAAGTGATATATTAATCAAGTAATAAAAAAAGAATCTTTAGAATAATCTTTAAGTTTGTCATTAGATTGGTTGACTAATCGAAAAATAACGTTAGATTCATCAGTAAAATGGTTAGGTGCGCCCTAATTTCATGATAACATCAAAGTGGAATCCACATGTTGAAAATATATGAACAAATGTACAGTATGTGTAAGGATAATAAGTAAATCCATAAGTCTTTCAAACACATCCACTTGCACATAGACACTCAAATGCAAGTCATACACATACGCACAAACAGTGCACATGTGTAAAAAATACATGACAGCAATGTTAAACAGGGATTGTCTCCAAAATATGATTAATAGTGCATCTGCTGATGGAGCCCAGGATAATAGATGGGTCTTAAATCTTAATTTAAAAATGTGAATGCATTAGCTGTCCTGATGAATAGAAGGAGAGCAAACCAAAGATAAGGCACCTGCTATGAGAAACTTCAGACTGATTTCCTGTTTATTCCTGGGATATTTAAATAAGATGCATCAAACAAATAGAAGTTCATAGAAGACAACAGAGAGGCTTTACTGTCTGCTCCAGCTTGAATAGGCAGCCAATGCAGCGAGAAAACAATTGCAGTGAAGTCTAAATAGGAAAATTCTATCTGCTGTTTTCTGACCGACTTAAAAACTGTCTGAGTGGAAGACAGCACAATAATCCATCCAGATTTAATCTTAATTAAAGGCCCTGAAACGTTTTTTGAATCAGCCTCGTATTATAAGAGATAGGGTCCTACATGAGCACAAAGTAGTCTCCCAAAGTTTAGAATGGTTTTATTTATTTCAATTGAAAGATATTAGTCTGTGCTGTTTTGTCTGAGCTCTTCTGACTGGTCTAAAGTGGGCAGAGCTCCGTTAAAAAAGTGATGTCATGTACTTCTGAGCCCTGATCAGGATATAGCAGGCATTTGAATTGTGGGGTTGTTTGCTTATGTTGCCAGTACTGTCAATCAAATCTGATTGAATGACACCCTCACAGTCCTGATTAGTTTCTCAGTGTTGAACTATATAATACCAAACCCAAACTTTAACTGTTGTATATTGACCCAGTTTCAAGGGAATTAAATTATATTTTCAGAAATTAAAGGAACAGTGTGTAAGATATAGTGGGATTTAGTGGCATCTGGTGGGAAATGCACATTGCAACCAGCTGATAACTTAAGGTACAGGCCCCAGTTGCACAAAACACCTTAAGTTTTCTACTCAAGTATGACACTTAAGGCTTAATTTTTAATTAGCTAAGGGACTTGCACAATTGCAAACAATCACTTAAAAGGTTTCCGTAGTTAAGGCAAAATGGTAACTCATTTACTGCGTTGAAAGAGATTTCACAGCGGTAAAAGTTTCCATGGAGATTGTTTGTTTGCTTGGACTCAGGTTTGTGACGCCTGTTATCATCTCAGATATTGGCTTTTTGTTAGATAGTGAAAAAATGGCAGATGAAAAAAAAAGACCAGAAAACTGGAATACTGGTCAGAGGAGGAAAAGATTAAACTTCTGGAGGAATACAATCACAGAAAGCACAAACTACAAAGTAAATTTGATTCCAAATACCAGAAAACAAAAATGATTGTAGGAAGAAACTGCAACAAAAACTAATTCAGTCAAATCTAAAGTGCAACCATTTCTTCTGGTTGCAGAACACACAGAGGATGTGTTAGTTTTTTCATTTATTACCATAAACTCGGCCATGTTGCAGTTAAGATACAGTCAGAGGTACCTCAAGTTTTTTTGTTTGTTTGTTTTTTACCGTGCCCTGGTTGCTAAGATCTTAGAGCAATGATCTAGGGATTCCTTAAGTATAAGACCAAGACACGGAGAAAACCATAAAAACTTCAGTGGACATTTTAGGGAAACCTTAAGTTGAAGACTTGAGGGTGTTTTGTGCAACCAATAATATATATTTTGAGGAAACCTTAACAAGGAATTAAAAAAAATCTTAACTGAATGTGTTTTGCACAAACAGTCCCAGATGCTAAGGTTTTTACCGGGAGCCGAATTAGGAGGCCTTCTCTCCAAAACACACAGACCCGGTAATTTAAACAGGTAAAAACACTGAATGAAGCTGGTTCACGTTTTAAAAAATAAGTGTTTTTCCGACACTCTTGTCGCAGAGGGGCAAAAACGCAAATGGCTCCATCTAGAGCCACTGTTTGGTTTGTCCGTTCTGGCCTACTGTAGAAACATGGCGTCATGGTGCGCTCTGCGAACTAGGATCTGCTCCCCATGTAGATAAAAATGGCTCATTCTAATGAAAACATTATATTTTATTTTCAGGTGATTACACACTAAAGAAAACATACTTATATTCCATTTCTGCCAATAGATCCCCCTAAATCCTACACACTGGCCCTTTAATCCATGCAAATGCACCACTTGTATTAGAACTACTTACTACTGCTGCTTTTATAAATACTACTCTAACAGATTACTATATGGATTTATCTCTTAAAGCAAAGCACACTTGAACAGATCTATCTAAACAATCCAGAGGACCTACAGAGCCTCACACATGAGACAAGTGACCTCTTTCAGTATCTGAAATACCAAGCAGAGAAAGGAGACATAGATTCTCAGGTATGTTTGGGTTACTTTAATACTTCTGTTATGATTGGCAGACACAGTCCATGCTCAGAGCAAGCCAATATAAACTCTCTTATTATGTTTAGAAACACCTGGGGACATTGCTTTACTGGGGACATCACGGAGTCTCAAAAGACATAGCGAGTGCGGTGAAGTGGTTTGAAAGAAGCGCTATGCAGATGAAGGATCCTTCAGCGATGTATGACTACTCCACCCTACTAATGAAGGTTCTGTAAGATTATAAAGACTCACCCTATTTTATGATTAAATTGGACAATGGATATTTTGTGTGTCTGTGTTGTGACAGTTATTGATTCACTGATTGATGCTGATTCCTCCAGGGCCACGGAGTGAAAAGAAACTACACCCGAGGTTTTAAGCTGCTGAAGAAAGCTGCAGAGATGGTACGTGTGTACTCGTGGTAATCAATCTGTGTTTACAGTATGTGCCTTCACTATACCTCTGTCTGTTTCCCTGCTTCAGGGCTCAATTAACGCCCTGAATGCTTTAGGCTGGTACCATGGGATGATACTGAACGACCACATCAATGCAGTGAAATACTTTGAGAAAGCAGCGCTAAATGGGAGTGAGGATGGCATGTATAACCTGGGGATTTATCATCTCACTGGGATGAACCCACACCACCCGTGGAGGAATGAGGTTCAAGTCACACACCTTGTCAAAAGTCATACTCAACAAAAATTTAAAACACATCACTTTTGTTTTTGCTCCCGTTTTTTAGAATTTGGGTTAAAAATCTAACACCAAACCAAGTGTTGCATCAGCTGTTCGGGTGGCTGGTCTCAGATGATCTTGCAGGTGAAGTTGCTGGATGTCGAGGTCCTGAGCTGGTGTGGTTACCTATGGGGGTTTTTTTGTGAGGGCATTTGGATGTACTGCCAAATTCAAGGAAGCAACTTTGGAGATGTCTTATGGTTGTGAAATGAACATTCAGTTCATGGGCATCAGCTCTGGTGGTCAGTCCTGCAGTCAGCATGCCAGTGGCGTGCTCCCTGAAAACCTGGGACATCTGTGACATAGTGTTGTGTGATAAAACTACACATTTTAGAGTGGCCTTTAACTGTGACCATCCCAAAGCACGGCTGTGTAGTGATGATGTTGTTTAATCAGCATTTGATAATGGCGCACCTGTCAGGTGGATGGATTATTTACGCTCACTAACACGGATTTTAATATAGACCAAAGTTTGAGAGTAATGTATCCATTGAGTGCATAACAATAGTCTTTAACTTAGGCCTGTGAAAAATGGGAGCAAAAACAGTAGTGTTCAAATTTTTGTTAAGTGTAGTTTCATCATTGATCTGTTGCAATCAATAAGCTGATATACTGTATTTTCTGTATGATCCACAGACGGCTGCGTTCCAGCTGTTTTTGAATGCGTCTGTGCTTGGTCATATCTCTGCATCGGTGGAGGCTGCTTGGTACCTTTCAACAGGAAGCCTGGAAGGGGTGTCTCAGGATGTGGAAAGGGCTGTGATGTAAGAGGCTTTCATTAGCTTGGTGAAGAAAGCTTTGTTATGGGCTGTTGCACTGTAGCCTGCAGCTCAGTGGCATCTAATTTCAATGACAGTGGCTAATTCAAGGTCAGAACCTCGTATTTGCATATCTAAAAATAAGAGTCACTGTCACTGCATTATTGTCTGGCACAGAGAGACTCGTTGTTCCTCTGGTATCTTATGAATTTAAAGAAGCTCCTGCTGCAGCTGTAGAGACAGGTTTTTTTTGGGGTTTTTTTTTTAGAATGACCTAAACAAATCAGGAACTATTTTTAGATCATGTTAAAATATTTTCCGTTTATGTGGAGAAAATGATATTCCATAATTCATCACCCATGCTTTACCCTCTGTGCAGAATGCTAAAAAAGGTCTGCGAACAGAACGGACACCTTGGATTTATGGTCAGAGACGCTCTCCAGGCCTACCTCCAGGGCTCTTGGTAGGGACATTAATTTCAATTACTTTGCAATTGTCCTCATTTAATCATTTTCTCTGGTCCTTACCATTTGTCTCTGCTTCTTCACATTTGTTTTATTGTGTTGCAAACAGGCGGGGAGCGTTTGTGAAGTATGTTTTGGCAGCTGAAACCGGTCTGGGTTTGGCCCAGAGCAATGTGGCGCACCTGTGTGAGGTAGGAGGCTGTTACTCTGGCTTTTAACCCTTTGTGTCCGTCAAGACAGCTATATAACAGCACAAATCTGAAATCGATGTCTCATAATTGGAGTTTTGGAGGTAGCTGATGAACAAATTGCACATAATTCCACTCACGTACTAAAATGAGAAAACCAAGCCGCAGGGAAATTGTCAGTGGTTGATAACATAACCTTCATCATTGCTCTGCCCTCTCTCACCCCGCGCTCACTCTCCCAAATGTAGGAGCTGAATCTCGGCGATGATTGTCAGTGGAGATATAATAACTACTCTATATTAAACTATGATCCCCATCCATCCAGTGAGTTCCTCTCATTTCATTTTTCTTTAACCTCTCCCTCCTTCTGTCAATCTGGTCAATAAACACCAAGTATTTATCTTCTTTTATAGCTCTGCTGAAAATGGGAGACCACTACTTCCGATCCTCCGGCAGGCGAGAAGACTCATTATCCCTGCTTGGTCAGGCCATATCGATGTATGGCAGAGCAGCTCGAGCAGGCAGCCCTCAGGTGACAGATTTACTTGAGCTGTAATCTCATCACCCTATGATAAACTTAATTAAACTTTCACGGGCTCAGGCCCACCGCAATAAAAACAACAAACAGCATTATACAGTGTTGTTGTTGTTATTTGAAAAATTTCGCTGTGAATAACCCATCAGCTCCTGTTCTGATCTTTTTTCACCCAAACTCACAGGGAATGTACAACTTGGTCGTTTTGGTGCGACAGGGATACGTTCTGCCACTGAGAGTCCGCGGCTGGTTTGATGTGTCACATTATGATGAGCGGGACGTCGTGGTGGAGAAGATCTTAATAAGGTGAATAAATAATAAATAAGTAAATAAATTCATGAGCTGCCACAGCGATGAATAATGACCATGAATCTAATTTAGGTGATCTAAGGCTGTTTATAATACAGCACCTGAGAGTGATGACATTTGTGAGATAATGTGCTTCTACAGTTACTTTAACTTATTCGCTTTCTTGCCAAGAGTGAAGAGAAGATCGGTAACATACACCCATGTATGTACGGCAGTCATAAAGGCGGCAGCTCTTTAGCTTAGCTTAGCACAAACAGGTGGAACAGGCTGCTGGTTTTGTCCTCTGTTTTTCATATCACTTGTTAATTATCGAGCGATACTGGGAATCCACATTACAAGTGACACATAAGCAAGACGTGAGCAGTGCATAAGCATACTGTCGTCCAATCCACATTGAGAGGTTGTGTCGCCTCCTAAGACTGGATGCTTGATGGCCGTGCCACTTGGCATGTGGGCTGTCTGCTACCATATTTCAAACTGGATGGCGGCTAGTTTGGAAACTTTCTCTTATTTTACAAAAATAGTTCACTGAAATTTGCTTCTGAAAACATCGGTGGCCAGAAATAAGCCATGCAGTTGCTGAATCTATCTTAATTTTAGATTGAAAATTGTTAGTTTAGAAGTTTTTTTGCTTGTTTCCAAAGGTGGCAAGTTACGCTGGATGCCCCTTATTAGCATAACGTAGCCTAAATTCAACTTTAAACAAATCAGGAGCGGACGTCCTGTCTTTTAAAATGCAACTTGGTGCTACCAGAATGCATTGCACGGCTGCTGACATAGAAAAAGTGTATGGGAGGTGTGGAGATTATAGATACTGTGGACACATACAATGACTCTGTCTTCTGTAAACATGTCAGCTGTCTGTCAGCAGCAGCTCGTGGGGAGCTGAGGAGACGGCGCTAACCTGTCTTCACCACACTGATTGATGACAGAAATTTACTGAACCAAAACAGTTTTCATGTCGGCTCCATGGGGAGACATCAACAGTGTTCTTACGTATTGACTCACTGATTTTATTCCCCGCCCACTGTAGCGAGTGAAGGTAATCTGCCTGTAGTGAAACAGGCTAGCTCACACACAGACTGGGAGCTTTGACCCTTTAATGTAGACAGAGTTTTAATAAGTTCATAACAAATATACAGCGGGATATTTTTTTATTAAATTTTTAATTTAATTTTTATTAAAAAAAAATGGAAGCATATCTGTGCCATGAGACGTCGAAAAAAACTATTTTAGAAAGCTTTCATTGCGGACTGGCCATTAGAGGTACTAGTAAGTGGAATTTGTTACCTGTTTTCCCGTGTGCCCAGTCTTTATGCTAAGCTAAGCTACAGTACCTGGAAGCTTTATATTTACCGTACAGACGTGAAAGTGGTGTCAATCTTCTACCTCTTTGCAAGAAAGTATTTCCCAGAAGGTCAAAATTCTTGAGGGCAAAGTCAATGTTAGCTGCTGTTACTGCTAAGCACATCTGTGTTAGACTCCTACCCCTGCTCGTGCACTTCCTGCTATTACTCACTGACATCATTTTAGTCATGTGCTCTATTATTGCTCTTTTTCTTCTAAGAGAAATATGAGGGCTCAATATCACTGTTATTGTGTGTAATACAGTTTCCATTGTTTATCTCCTAAGATGTGTGGAGACTGAGGAAGGAGAAGCATTGACGCCCTGTTCTTTAGCTCTGCTCAGAGTCCAGATGGGAAAAGCCTTGAGGAGAATGACTCAGAACGGTGCACAGCTCCTCTTGGTAGGCATAAGGCAATCAGTTCATACTGTGTGTAGTAAGAGAAAAACACACCACAAGCTGCACTCCTACACTTTATCATCGTCCTTTGATAATCTGATCTACCTTTAATTATTGAATATGGGAAAATGCTAATTGGACCTTTGTCATGAATAAGACATTAAAGACAATATAGAGTGCTATTTTGGGGGAGAAAATGTGATAATTTATTTAAAACCACATTTCTCATTTCTCTATAGGCATACGCATCTTTTCTTTCTGTCATTGTCATTATTGTCACAGTGCCACTGCAGAGCTGTCTTGGTAAGTAATTGTTTCCTTCCCAGCTGCACCTACTTGCACCTATCTGCCACAAGATGGTGCAATTTCCCCACATATTAGTTTGCTGCCTCGTGCTCTGCTTTGCACATCAAAAGATCATCTGTGTTAGTTTGCCATGATCCTCACCTCTTTTCATCCCCCTCATCTGCAAATAAACACAGAACAAAGGCAGCGAGTGTTTGCACTGAGAGCAAGGGAATCATCCAACAGCCAAGATGGCGTCAACTTGAACAGAGAGCAAGACGGCACCACAGGAGGAACCTACGGAGCAGCGGGGAATCTATGGCTTACCATCCTGAATGGTGAACAGCGGCTACGGCAGACCTGTGATTGGGCTGTGACTCTGACGGGCGTGTGCCTGTGTGCTTTCTGGACCACACTCCTCTATCATCTCTTATGACATACAATACCCAGCGCAGTGATCCAATAGCCACAGCAAAAGCCCCAGACACTACATATTGTAAGAGCATACATTTAGAGGATGAGTTACAGCACTATTCATGTGACACATTTGTGTTCTGGAGACATGTGACTCATTTTAAGTTATAACACGGGAAGGAGAGAAGTGCTGATCAGCGTGCTGCTTTATCAGAGTGGTGATAGTGTTTCCTCAGTAACCATATGTCACTTGTTTTGTTTGCGGAAAATAAAATACTTATCATGCAGTTTATTTAATTAAGTCTGACCTGTAGTTTATATTGTCTCTGGGATGTGGCGCCAAGAAAGCAGAGTGAAGCTTCTGTTATGCAACATGTAGTAAAACATATTTCAACAGACTTGCTTTGGATTATTCAGTCAATTCTTTCATTATGAAATTGATTCATTTCTGTCACAGCACTGTGAAAACAGACAGATGCATTTCAAGGTCTAGTGTGTAGAATTCTGGGGGATTTAGTGGCATCTAGCGATGATGACTGCAGATTGCAACCAGCTGAAACTTTTCCTAGTTAGAAATCCTTCAGTGTTCATTGTTTAGGAGGTTTTATCCACAGAGGGCTCTTCCTCCCATAAACAAACATTCTCATATATAAACATTGCATACTCACAAATCAAGGCCTGAAAGAGGCGTACGCCACTTCCCACGCAAAAGTTGTGACCTATAAAAACAGACTTGATGGGGCAAACTTTGACCCATGTTTATGAACATTTTGGAGACAGGAAACTGGCGAAGCAGGTGTTGAGGTGGAAGCCTGATTGTAGAAAGTGTTGAATATTTTTTGGCGCACGCCATTTTTGGCTTTTGTCCGTACGTACATTTTTAGTAAGGATCCTATGCTTTTTTTTTGAGACCCCAGGGGCCTCATTTATCAACCGTGCGTAGAAAAGGTTCTAAATTCTGTCCTAAGAATGAAACTTAGAGGCCGTTTACATGTACACAGTGATTTTGATAAACGGAGACATCTTCCTTCGTTTGTGCCCTTCGTTTACACGCAAACGGAGATTTCTCCTCTGAAAACGAGTCTTTCTAAAAACTCTGGCCAGAGTGGAGATTTTGGAAAACTCCGGTTGCGGGTTTGCATGTAAACTGAGATAAATGGAGATAAACAGAGTTATAGGCAGCCCACGTCACAGTATGCGCCGGAACTTGCGCCTGTGTAAAAAGTGCGACCTATGTTGCTATGGTGACAATGGATACATGGAGGGCTTGAGCTTCTCGTTACACTGCCACCTACAGGTTTGGCATGCTCTTGTGTATATATACACGGGTAAGTGTACAGAAGATCTTTTTGAAAACGGAGACGGTGAAATGTCTGTTTATGAAAATAGCCGGCAACGTGTAAACGGCGTCTTAGAATGTATGTAAGTACAAAAAAATCCATAATTATCAAACATGCGGACACTGATCATACGCACACTAGTAAGTAATCAGTGATGATAAATCCCACCTGTTCTTAACTACCATGCTCGTGCATGGTTAGGGTCATTTGCATTCAGAAACGCCTCCAATTGACCATATATGGCAGCAACAATCCCTTTAATAATGCGTGAATGGATTTTTTCCCCCTCACCGAAATCATGGCAACGAGGGCGAAGAAGAGGAACTTCAC